AGGAAGTCGTGTTTTATATTCCTGTATTTGTCAAGTAAGTTTAGGTTATACCATAGGAGTTGGAAATGTTATGTTGCAGAGATGTTATTTTTCTTTGATAAAGCAAGAAATTGACTTGGCCTGGCCCTTTCTGTCCTGGGCAGCACCTCAACTGCCAGTTCATCCCTTTTGTTCTTAAATGGGATAGTTGGGTTCTCCCTGTACATGTATGTGCTTCAAGAATCAGCCAGAAGTCAGGCATGGTGGTGCATGCTTGTACTCCTAGCACTTCTGCAACTGAGGCAGGAGAACTGAGTTTAGGCAAACATAGGCCAAATAGAATGACTGTCTTAAAAAAAAAAAAACTTTTACAGGTGAAGATGTCATCCGAATGGCCACTCATCGTGTGCCATTCATTTCCTCTAAGTGGCAGCTGGCCTGCAGAATCTGCTGGTCTTGGTTCTGACCCAGCATCTTCAGGTAGGTTTTCCCCCATGGAGTTTATAACTATCATGCATAACAGATGGATCTATTAGGAGCTGATGTGGTGATAACCAGAGACAAAGATCTGGAGTAATCTCTTACGCAGGCCATGTGGGTTATAAACTTGAAGGGCTAGAGTGAAGTCAGACTCGCTTGAGGTGGTTGTTAGTGACTCAGGAGCTGGCTGTGAGCTGGTGGAACGTGCCTAATCTCAGCATTCAGGAGGCTGAGGCAGCAGTATTACAAGTTTTCAACCAGCCTGCACCACTTCATAAGCTGCTATCTTTCAAAAAGAAAAACAAAATAAAGGCTGATAAGGGCTGTGGTGGTTTAACTGAGAATGGCCCCCATAGTCTCATACATTTGAATGTTTGCTTCCAGTTGGTGGATTGTTTGGGAAGGACTAGAAGGTGTGGCTATGTTGGAGGAGGTATGTCACAGGAGGTGGACTTTGGGGTTTCAAAAGCCCATGCCAGGCTCAGTCTCTCCTTTGCCTCCTGCCTGTGGATCAGGATGTAAGCTCTTAGCTACTGACCCAGCACCATGCCTACTTGCCTGCCACCTTCCTTCCATGATAGACATGGACTAACCCTCTGAAACTGTAAGCAAGACCCAATTAAATGCTTTTTTTCTAATAGTTGTCTTGTCATGGTGTCCCTTCACAGCAATAGAACAGTAAGACAAGGGCCTCAGTCATCTTAGTAACAATGAGGATGAAGATAATGAATTAGAGAAAATGAGATAAAAATAATTTATGATGAAATGCATGGGAGGGAGCCAGAGTACAAAATGTTCTTCTTAAATTGCTCTGCAAACTAGAGTATACACATTACGTGCTTTATTAGCTACAGTGTGGCTGGAATGGAATATGTATGTTATCTCTCATATAAAAGTTGATCAGCTCCCAGTAGACAACACTATTTCACACTATTTCTTAGGCTTTTGTTCATTTCATTCTACTCCTTGGTGATTTCATGGTTTTTATGGTTAAAGTAAACTCACCATTTTGTCCATGCTTCACCCTGTGGGAAGAGGGGAACAGCACGTAGAGAGTAGTGAATTTCAAACTTAGTGTGTAAAATCTGCTCACATAATGGTGGCCACATGTCACAAATATGTAAAAACAGAGCTTGTAGTGTGATAGCAGAGGCTATCTGTAAAAGCCAAATACTGGGAACAAGAAGAGCCTCTGTCATTATTGGCCTAAGATTGAGTCACTCATGAGTGTATTAGAATCCAGCTCAGACCTCCTCTCAGAGATACTGGCAGGCACCCTCCTGACACTCAATAAGCCCAGGGCTAGCAGACTTGCTGCACCAAGTACTACATTCAAGTACTGTTACATCAGTACCCACAGCTTCTTCCCTGACTACCTGAGAATCAGAGCCTGGCTTCAGGCTCTTGTTGTGAACTTCTCTGACCCTCAAAACATACAGGAGGCTCCATTTTCTTTGGAGACATCATGCTGTCTGTGGTATGGAGGCCTAAACTCTTCCTGGACTTCCATGCCATGCTTCTCCCCATCTGTCCATGGCCTAACTCCAATAAACTCCTTTATCCCCAGGAGTCTATCTCAGTGTTCTCTTGAACCCCCAGCTTCATTCAAAACCTAGCACAGAGGATCTTCTTATTCCTGTTGAGCAAACCAAACCCTCCCCAGTAGAAACATTCTAGAGTTACACCCAGATTGTGAATCCACGAAGATGTTGAGGATATCTGGGTATCAGAAAGAATGACGAAACACTGGATACTGGGGGCATGCCTCAAATAACCTGGCAACTTCTCTCACCCTTTCAGATATTGACAGATAGGAGAAAGAGAGTGTCACCAAAGGAAAGTATCTTCACAATGTGAAGTATGATGGGCCCACAAAGTACTAACACCAATCAGGAATATTGCATTTGGGCCAATCAGATGAATTTGGCCTCATGCATATCAAATACTAATTCATGAAGGGGTATAAACTAGTGGACAAAAGAAAACATCAATAATGGTAACAACTGAAATGTATCATGTTCAGCTGATTTGAGAGAACATCTAAGAATCTGATTAGTATTTCCTGTGATAAAGAATTATACTTTCACATTTAAAAATCTTAAAATGTATTTAAATGATACTAAAGGTAGAGTTTAATTAGGAAAAAGTTTTAGGATCTGGGTGAGGTGGCAAAAGTCTGTAATACTAGCACTCAGTAGGTGGAAACACGAAGATCAGAAGTTCAAAGCCATTCTGAGGTATATAAGTTCCAGACCAGCCTGAGTTGCATGAGAATTTGTCTCAAAACACCAAAAAGAACGGAAAAAAAAATTTAAATGGAATTACCAGGCTGGAAACTGGGTCAGAGGTTAAAAGCATTTGCTGCTGTTTCAGAGGACTGGAGTTGAGTTCCCAGCACCTGTAATCAGGCGGCTCAAAAACCACTTGTAACTCCAGCTCCAGGGGACCCAACACCCTTTTCTGGCCTCTCAGGGCACCCCTGAACATTGGAGGGTTAGAGGAAGGAAAAGGAGAAATGATAGATTGCAATTTCAAAAAATTTAAAATTATATAAACATAAAAAAGCTCTAAAAAAATTTAAAACATTAAAGATCGGGATGGTGAAACAGCTCAGCAGGAAGGGCCCTTGCCCCCAAGCCTGACAACCAATTCAGTCCTCAGGAAGCACATGGCTGGAGGAGGGAGCTGAGCTCAGCAAGTCCTCTGACCGCCACGTGAGTGCTGTGGCCTGCGCATACACACAACACACAAATGTTAAAGAAGAGAAAGGAAAGGAAAAGAGAAGGGAAAGGAAGCAGGGCTGGCAAGATTGCTTAGCGGGTAGTGGGTAAAGGCGCTCACCACCACGCCTGAAGACTGCTTAGCGGGTAGTGGGTAAAGGCGCTCACCACCACGCCTGAAGACACAGGTTAGATCTCAGCACCTACATGTCAAGAGAACTGACTCCTGAAACTTCTTGTCTTCTGCCCTCCATGTGTGCATCCACGCCCCCAACACACAATAAAATATAAGAGAAAATGAACATGATTTAGCTTCCACACATAATTGAAAGACTTGAATTTTGCTTTTTTTTTTTTATTATCCCAGCAAATGTTACACTAGTGGAAATGATTGGGAAAATACAAATAGATTCATTCAGACTGATTATTTGTTCTATTACATTCAGAAATATGCAAAACCGTTGTTATATTGCAAAGCTGTAATTCTTTTTTCTAGCAAAGAATTATTTATAAAATGGTAGTGTTGCCATTGATTCCACTTTAATACAAAATACTTATATACATAATACAATATAAAAGTAAACTGGGAAGTGCCCTCCACAAAGGAATATACTAAGGCACTTTATAAATATATCAATGTTGACCCAAATTACGTTTTATTTTAGATTAAAAAACAGACTGTTTCACTTTAAATATCAAAGGGATATTTTGTCTATTAAAGAAAAATTTCTAAAGTACCTTGGGTGACAGCAGCAGCATATCTAAAACTCCTCCCACTGTGTTTCTAATTTCTAACATATTATTAAGTCAGAATAAAACATTTCCACTCACAGTTTTGCACTTCTCAACAGCAGAAGGAAATAACTTTTTTAAAAAGTCAATCTCAAAGTGACTTCTTAGTCATACATTCTATAGTTTCTATTACAAATAGGAAGGTAGGTCAGATACAGCAACAGGGCCTGCCTCAGGACGTCACTGAATACACAACAGTATGTACAATACATAATTATAGAACGCATTTTATAAATACTATTGATCCACATTAAAGGGGCAAGTACAGAGACAGCCAGTTTTCTGGGACAGCATGGAGAACAGCGTCTTCACCTCACTGCAGTTGAGAGTGTCCAGGTTTTATACTGTTCTCATTGCTGCTCAGAAAGCACCAGCTTCTAGACTGGAAAAACTGGATGTAGTCAGGGAATAAAATAGCCAATATGAGTATCCAAAATATTAAAACTGTGGATAAAATACTAAAATCACAGATACCAATGCTTGTATACTACCTCCAGCAAACATTAGACGCTTATACTGTCAGAGACGTTCAGAAGGACACAGGATTTGTGGTCTTTATATTCTGAGGAAACATGGTCATGGAAGGGGAAAGACAGCACCTTTGTTTTCCTGCAGTATGAACATGATGAAGTTGATTTTCTACTGTATTGCACCATAATCCATAAGTAAAACCACTAAATGAAAATGTAAATCTGAGTGAGAAAGCCCAAAGAACAAAAGGGCTGTCTTACAAATGTGGGAACCAAGAAAAAATTCTTGAATAAGTATGTTTTGCATAGGAGTTTACAGATTATTCCAATGCCCATGATTTAAAGACTGTTTCATGATAGCACATTCTCTTACAACACCACCAGACATTTCAGTGCCCTCAAAAACAGTGTTTAGAACATGTCAGTGCTGTGCCAGCATTCACAGGGTCATCACATCGTGCTCTAGAAACCTTTCCAATGACAGATCATCATTGTTTTTACAAAATGTGCTCATCTGAGGACTGTGCAATAAATTAAGAGTTTTCAGTTTAATGTAGCAATTTACTTACAGGATGTAGGTCTTTAATCTGTTGTCTAAGGATTTTTTTTTTTTTTTAATCATATCCAGGGACCCCTGGAAGTGCATGCAACACTTTCTGTGTACGTGTTGATATGCACTTTTTCACTAGGGCTAGAGTTCACAAAGCCTCCATTTCAAAAGAACCAGGGACCCCAAAGGCTCACACTTACACTGCAACAGGTTCTAAACTGGACATGAAAGTGTAAGCTAATAACCTAATAATTTTTTCTTTCCTCAATTCAACCAAATAACTTTGACTTTAATTTTATTATACACATGGTTTCAAACAAATTATCTTTTACAAGAAAGCTAGATAGGTAAATATCATTCCTATCCACATTGAGTCTGATAAAGCAATTCATGTCAGTAAACTTAAAGAAAAGGAAATAATATACAAACTTTACTAGGGTCAGAATACAGCCCAATTCTTTCTAAAAGATGTTACTATGCATTTTGTTATGAAGCCACAATTCTTCCTTAGAACCTAAACATTATATAAATAGGCACATTAATCTTAAATAAATTAGGAAGTCTTCAATTTCTAAACCACTATGTATCTTCTTCTAATTAGGAATGGTCATCCCAATTAGGAGTTAATAATTCTTTTTTAACCAATTAATCTACTCTTAGGTATAATAGTGCCAATAGAAACATTTTCCTGTGCCAGTGACTTGCATTGTAGCACTGTTCTGAAAGAGGAAATCTACAGCATTGACGACACATCAAGATTAGTCGCTGTACAGCAAAGGTATGTCTGGGGGACAGCAGTGCTGGGGATTGAACCCAGGGCTTTGTGTATGTTAGGCAAGTGCTCTACCACTAAGTTATATCCCCAGCCCCTGTGAAAGTACTTTCTTAGTGAGTCCATACAAATAAACTCTAATCAACGTTTTACAAACTGAAACTAATTTCTTTGATTAGGAGATGGAAATTTTTCTTCTAATTTTAAGATAAAAATATTACAGATCTTAGTTTTCAGTATCTGAAAATTTGATTTATGGCAACTTTGTTCCCTTTTAAAACTGGAAGCAGCATTAATACCAATATGGAAACAAAACTAGTAGTGCCCTGACTTCTTTTAAAGTCCGTAACTGAGAGGAAATGCTAGGTTAAAGACTTTCGTGGAGGGAAGGGGTAAACTGCATTATTTCTAGTGAACTCATTTTTTTCTGCTCTGTATTTGTGATTCCAGGATATGACTTCCAGATTAGCATTAGCCTAGGTACACCTTCTGAAATGATAGCTTAATTTATTTAGCTTATTGTGAACTAAAACCAAAGTTACAGGGGAAATATGGATATGTTTCATATTTGGTTAAAGCAAGATAAAACTGTCTTTCAAAAACTCTTGAATTTTAAATTATTTAGCATATATACAAATAGATACCAGGCTTCTCTTTTTAGACAGAGCAGTATTTTTTAAGTACTTTAAGTACCAAGAACTGACTATAATACTCAGCTCATAATTTACTTTCCTTATAACAAAGTACCAAGAACTGACTATAATACTCAGCTCATAATTTACTTTCCTTATAACAATTTACTCTAAATTATTGAATTAAAAGGGTGGAATAAATTAACATTTTAAAACAATTTCCCATAATTTAGGAAAATAAAATATTGTACACAGAGCACACAAACTCTGTCACATTTGCATAATCTTCTCAAAACCTAAAAAACCCCTGCATTTCAGGTCTTTCTGCAAATTCTTACAATTATCTCCTAGTCTATTAAACATATACTAGATCATGGTTTTTTACATCTGAGCCTGCGTGTTGATCATCTTCATCAGACTGTTGCTCAGAGCCTTGTGAATTAATGTATTCATATTCAATAGGCTTTGGATAATTGTATGGGTAGCCATTGTCATCAAAAAACCTCCGAAAGGTAAACTCATAGAAAGCATGTTCGGGGTGCTTTCCGTTTTTATACCAGCCATTCAGAGTGTCATTGATATTTTCTTCCTCATTATCATCACTCCACAACTTATCAGGATCAACAGGGTCAAAATTGGACGTATCTGTTGGGTGTGTGATTTTGGGGATATAGGAAGCAGACTGCTGTCTCAGATCACTGGAGAAATCAATGGTTTTAAAGAATGGGTGAGCCTTTATTTCGTCAGCACCATTCTTGCCTAGGCGATCTTCTGGTCCTCGGCAGAGTTTGATGATGAGGTCAGAGGCTTCAGGACTCAGCTTAGCTTGAGGGGGAATGTGAAGAGAAGTTTGCCAGTTGATAACCTTTAGAGAAGAGTTTTTAAAAGTTAGGAAGGGAGAGATGAAAATCAACAATTGTCCCAAGTTTTATATCAAATATCTTACTGGACTACTTGTTTTTCTAAATAATTTTCATGATATTTTACCTTTTATAATAAATCACTGCTAGAAAATACACTTTCTCCTATCCTCACCTGTTGAGAAGACTCACAGTAAGGTTGTTTGTTTTGTTTTGTTTGAGTATTATTGTCTTTGTTTTTCGAGACAGGGTTTCTGTATGTAGCACTGGCTGTCCTAGAACTCACTCTGTAGACCAGGCCGACCTTGAAATCACACAGATCCGCCTGCCTCTGACTCCCAGTGCTGGGATTAAAGAAGGGTGCCACTAACACCTGGCTGTTTGTTTTATCTTTGATAAAAGGTCTCTCTAAGTAGCCTTGGCTATCCTGAAACTTGCTATGTATGATACTCTGAATGAAAACGGTCCCATAGACTCATAGGGACTGGCACTATTGGGAGGTGTGGCCTTGTTGGAGTAGGTGTGGTATTGTTGAAGAAAGTATGTCACTGGGAGTGGGCTTTGAGGTCTCAGAAGCTCAAGTCAAGCCTAGTGTCTCAGTCTCTTCCTGCTGCCTTTGGATCAAGATGTAGAACTCTCAGCCTCTCTCCAGCACCATGTCTGCGTGCATTCTGCCATGTTTCCCACCATGAAGATAATGGACTAAACCTCTAAACTGTAAGCCAGCCCCCAATTAAACATCTTCCTTTTTACAAGAGTTGCTTTGGTGATGGTGTCTCTTCACAGCAACAGAAACCCTAACTAAGGCACTATATAAACCAAGCTGACCTGGAACTCACAGAGATCTACCTCTGCTTCCCAAGTGTTGAGATTAAAGGTGTGTACCACCATGCTAAGTTTAAATAGGTTGACCATTCCTAATTCAAAAAATTCAAAATCTCAAATACTTTAAAACACAACATTTTGAGGGCTGGAGAGATGGTTCAGTGGTTAAGAGTACTGGCTGTTCTTCCAGAAGACTGGAGTCCAATTCCCAGCAACCACATGGCAGCTACAACTGTAACTACAAGAATCTAACACCTTTATATCAATGCACATAAGATAAAGTTAAATAAATTATTATTATTATTATTTTTTTTTTTTTGGTTTTTTCGAGACAGGGTTTCTCTGTGTGGTTTTGCGCCTTTCCTGGAACTCACTTGGTAGCCCAGGCTGGCCTCGAACTCACAGAGATCCGCCTGGCTCTGCCTCCCGAGTGCTGGGATTAAAGGCGTGCGCTACCACTGCCCAGCGTTAAATAAATTATTTAATAAAATAAATTAAAATAAAAACACAAAAACTCTTAGTGTTGATATGATGTTATAAGTAGAAAGCTCTACCCCGACCTGTGTTGATTGCACTCAAAAGGCATTCACAAGGAGCTGGGGATCCAACTCAGTGGAAGAGCACTAGTCTAGCCTATCAGAGGTCCTGGGCTTAAATCCTACCACTCCAAAAACAAACAAACAAAAACAAAAAAACCCAAAACAGACCAGGTGGTAGTGGCGCACACCTTTAATTCCAGCATTCGGGAGGCAGAGCCAGGTGGATCTCTGTGAGTTCGAGGCCAGCTTGGTCTACAGAGTGAGTTCCAAGACAATCTCCAAAGCTACACAGGGAAACCCTGTCTTGGAAAACAAAAACAAAAACAAACAAACAACAACAACAACAAAAAACCAGAACCATAAAGAAATAAAGGTACACTAAACTATTATATAAAATTACCTTCAGGCTGTTTGACATATAAATGAATTTCATGTTTAAACCTGTGATCTATTCCTATGAAATCTCAGTGTGTATATGCAGAGGCAGATATCTGAGGCCAGTTGGTCTACATGGCAAATTCTAGGCCAACTCAGGGCTACATATCAAGACCCTGTCTCAAACAAAATCTGACAGAATGTGAAATATTTCTTCCTCAAGTGTTTTGGACAAGATATATGAGTACTACAGCACATATAAAGATCTATGGTGTAAGAGCTGATGATTTTTTTGTGTAGGTCCTATAGCTTACCTTCATTTGTGTTTCTAATGGTGTTTGTGCCAAGAAAGGAGGTTGTCCCACCAACATTTCAAAAAGAATAACACCAACACTCCACCAATCACACAACTGTGTATATCCTAAGGGTACCAAAATTATATAGTTATTCACAAGAACACTTTTAAAAATGCTCAGAATACAAACAACATTAGCATTAAGTCAACAATTTATAGTATAAAATCAACCCTTTTATCTTAAACCTGAAAAGAAAGAAAGTATATGCTAGCGTAAATTTGGCTGATCTCAATGACTACTGAAATTATTTAGGAGACAAATAAATGCTTTACCTGTTCGTAGTAGTACTTCAGGTGCAATATAATTGGGAGTCCCAACCAAAGAATGTGCGAGACATCGCTGGTGCTGGCGTGCAGCTCTCCGTTCTAGTGGCTTTAGTCTGTCTCCACACCGACAGTTGGAGGGATCTCCCCATTCATTACTGAAATCCATGCTATCTTGCCGTGGATGATCCCCTGTACAATAAAAAGGAAAAAATTAAATGAAAGCAGCAAGGACAAAAGTAAACCTCAATCTGTTTAACCTCTGATATCATGATTAAGAGCTAATAATACTTTCCCTGGCCGGGTGGTGGTTGGTGCACACCTTTAGTTCCAGCACTCAGGAGGCAGAGCCAGGTGGATCTCTGTGAGTTCGAGACCAGCCTGGTCTACAGAGCGAGCTCCAGGACAGGCTCCAAAACTACACAGAGAAACCCTGTCTCGGAAGAAAAAAAAAAAAAAAAGAGAGAACACTTTCCCTGTAATAAATTAATGCACAAAAGATGCCAAGTCAATGGCAGCATTACTATTACTGACGAGGGCCTGTTTGCTGAGATATCCACAGGAGAAGATGTAAACTAAGAAACATTGAAGACTCAATAATTTACTCAACATTAAATGATAACAGTGTAAGTCATGAGTAGGTAGGAGACAGTATCACCTCATTCAAACTATTCTGTTATTTTTCTGAGGGTATTTTTAAATGCATCTGATCAATTTCATTCATTCAACAAAAGACAATAAATAAGATTCTTCACTCAGCTCCCACTCTGGCAGGGGAGAAGCACAACCGACATACACACATATACGAAACACAGTGATAATAAGGGTTGAGGTGCATCTCAGCTGTCAGGGTGCTTGCCGAGCCCTGGGCTCCATGGCCAGAACGGCAATGACTTGGATTGGTAGGATAGACCTGTAATCCCACCACAGCTTTGCTGGCCCCTTTTAATTATTCTTCTTTTTAAAATGTGTTCATTATGTGTACTCAGGTGGGCATGCGCACACGGCAAGTACAGAACCCGGCCCTGTCAGGTCTGCTCGGAGCTGGAGATGATACAGGCAGCTGTGATCCAGCTCGCATGGCTTCTGGAAACTGAACTCAGGTCCCGGCAAGAGCAGGCACCCTTGTCTCCAGCCTCCTTTCTTTCTTTCTTTTTTTTCTTTTTCAGACAGTGTCTCATTGTAACCCAGACTGGCCTTAAACTTGCTAGGTAGCAAGACTTTAATCCCAGCACTTGGGAGGCCTCTGTGAGTTCAAGGCCAGCCTGGTCTACACAGTGAGTTCCAGGACAACAGAGCTTGTCTCAAAACCAGAAGAGGACCCAGCAAGACAGCCAGTCCTCATGACCTGAGTTTAACCCCCAAGAACTATGTGAAGGGGAGAAGCAACTCCAGCAAGACCTCCGACTTCCACATACACAAAATAAGGGGCTGGTTTGGGTGTTTGTTGTTGTTTTTAAACCAAGAATTAAAAAAATTAAAGGGGGGGGGGTGTCCGCTCAGTTGGTAAAGTGACAGCTGTACAAGCTTAAGGACCTAACTTTGGATCCCTAACACCCCTGTAAAAGATAGGTGCTACAACCCTACCCCTGGGAAGGCAGAGACAGGTGGGTCCCTGGAACTAATGACTGACCAGCCAGCCTATCCAAATCCATGAGCTCCAGGTACAGTAAGAAACTTTGTCTCAAAAACAGGATTATTAAAAAAAATAAGATAAAATAAAATGGAGGGGCTGTTGAGATGCCTCAGATGGTAAAGGAGCTTGCCACTAAGCCTGATGACCTGATCTGGATCACTGGAACCTACATGGTAGAAGGATAGAACCAAGTCCCACAAGTTGTCCTCTGATCTTTAAACATCATGGCATGTACACACTGTGCCCACAGACACATATAATATATAAACATAAATGTAAAAATTAAACGATAGTAATCAAGGAAGACACCTTACACTGACCCATGCCCCTACATGTGCATATAACCACATGAACTGTACACACATCTGCCCACATACACATGAAAGAAAAAAATGATGATGATGATGATGATGGTACTGAGGGTGTACTTGGTGGTTGTCTCAGGGAGAGCACATGGTAAGCATGGAAGAGGCTCTGGGTGCCAGTCCCAAGCACCACACACACACAAAAGGAATGGCATGGATCTGCAGTCCCAGCTACACAGAAAGCAGAGGCAGGAAGATTACTTGAACCCAGGTATTCAAGACCAGTCTAGAGAACACAGGAAAGAAGACACGCTGACTATAGGACAGTCTCTATAGGTAAAGACAACAGAGGAGAGGACACAAGTGAGACGCAAGGGAAAACAATGAGAAAGTCACATTGCTAAAATAGAAATGGTTAAGACCTCAGTCCTATGAGAGTCAGGACAAGGCTTTCCACAAAGAAACAGCAACAGACGGCAGGCCAGGAGAGTCACTAAGGGAGAGATGCGAGGGCAACACACCGTTACAGTGAAAAGATATGGGAGAGTCTGAAGTAAGAGAACAAAACGACCTGATGAGATTAGAGAAAGCAGCTCCCACAGCCTGTGGGGCTGCAACAGGAGGAACGCTGCAGCTGTGCTCTGGAGAGCAGACTGCAGGACAACAGGAAGAGAGGCCAGCCAGGTGACTGCAGAAGCCTGGCTGAGCAGGCTAAGGATGCAGCTGCAGAGGGACTCAGCCACCTGGGCAGGTGCCAGTGCCACAGTGTTCCAGAGCTGAGGGTGGGATTAAGCTGACAGCTGTGGCATTCTCTGCTAAATTTCAACAGCTATCTGAAATCCATGTGGAAACAGAGAGGCCATTTCTAGAGAGACGTGAAATCATGAACATTTATAGGGTATTGAAAACTACTTACAGTACTGCAATTAACCTAACTGTAATAATCACCTGGGAAATTTCATTAAAATATAGTTCCCAATTTCCAGAGAACATTTTTTAATCAAGTCTGAACCAGAGCCTAGGAATTATACTTTTTAGGCGAGTCAAAGGTAATAAAGTTAAATGTGGGAGACCCTTAATTCCAGCCACTCAGTGTGCTGCTATACAAGAACATGCCTATAATCCCTGAACCTGGGAAGCTGAGGCAGGAGAACTGTGAGTTTGGAGTTCAAGACTGGCCTGTGTGCCAGGCGGATCTCTGTGGATTCAAGGCCAGTCTGGTTTACAAAGCAAGCCAGAGCTGTTACACAGAGAAACCCCCTTCTGGGGGGTGGGGTTGGGGGAGACTGGCCTGTGCTATATAGTGAAACCCTGCCTCAAAATTAAATAAATAGACAAGGAAGAAATCCATCTGTTTGTGTTCAGATACCCCAAAGGCTAACACTTACCTTAGAAGATGCTATAAGCACTAAATTAGAATATATGTAAAGCACCTTGGAGATAGTAAGTATTCAACAAACATTAGATGAACTTACACTTCCATTAGCGCTTGAAGGGCTCTTGGTGAGGCAGTGTGGTAGAAATAACATGGCCCTGTAATCAGACAAATCTGGGTTCAAAGCCTAGCCCTTACACTTAATTTCTGTCTGACCTTGGACAAGCTACTTCACCTAAGTCTCATATCTTCATTCGGCCTCACAGTGTCACATGATTAAATAGAATCATGTGCATGTGTTTAGGGTTAAATAGATTGTGGGACACTCATATATAGAACTCTAAATAGCAGTGAAAAATATATTCAGTAACATGGAGAAGTATATTTGTGAAAACAAATATATTCAGTAACATGGAGAAATCTCAAAAACAAAAGAAGTAAACAAAAAGAAAAAAGAGACACAAAAATACATATAGAATGATTAAAAAGTTTCAATAGTAGGAAAAATGAAGTAATATATTGTTGATGAATATAATACACAATGTATAGAATGTATCTATAGAATATGGTGTTCAGGCCTAGCAGTGTGGGCCGATAATCCCAGTACATAAGAAGCTGAAGGTTGAAGGATCCCAAGCTGAAGGCTTTCCTGAGCTACCACGTATAAGTTCCACTGAAGTCTGGGCAACCTAGTGAGATCTTGTTTCTGAATGAAAAGTACAAAATGGTGAGGCTCTAGGTCAGTGGTAGACTACGTGCCTGGCAGGCAGAGGCCTGGGAGACAGCAGCAGCAGCACCACCAAGAAAAGTGGAGGACGGACTCAAGTTCTAAATAATGGATGTCTCTGGAGGAAAGAAGGGAACAAACTACTAAGAGCATCTAACAACTACTGGTATCTTGGTGGACAGAGGCTTTAGTCAAAAATTAAAAACTGACACCTTTCAAAAGTGACAAAATTTTGTAATAGTTACTTTAAAAACTTTAATAATATTTAAAAATAAACTTTATATACTCTTTAACTTTATAGATGTAAGTATAAGAGATTTACCTAAATTTAATAAGAGAGATTAAAAACCAACCCATGTCTACTGGTCTCAACCAGGGTTGAAGCCATCTTAAGTTGTACTACATAAATAAATTGTATTATGGTGAGTTAAAATGGAATTTACACGCTCACTTACCACTCTGGTAGTACTTGGAATCATGTGTCCATCGGAAGCCAGTGCACAGACCAAAGTCAGTCAATTTAATATGGCCATCTCGGTCAATCAAAATGTTATCAGGTTTAATGTCTCTATGAATAAAACCCATTTTATGAACACTTTCAACTGCACAGGTAAGTTCTGCTATGTAGAATCGTGCCAGATTTTCTGGAAAAATGCCCATTCTAATTAATAGGCTCATCATATCACCCCCAGGAATGTAGTCCATCACAAAGTACAAATTGTCCTTATCCTGGAATGAGTAATACAAGCGAACCACCCATTCATTGTCAGCTTCAGCTAGAATATCTCTCTCGGCTTTAACGTGAGCAACTTGATTGCGAAGTAGAACGTCTTTCTTTCGCAGGGTTTTTGTTGCATACAAAGCTTTAGTGTCGACTTTTCTCGCTAGACAGACTTCACCAAACGCTCCTATTCCTAGTGTCTTTATCTTCACAAACATAGACTTGTCCATTTTAGCCCTTTTAAGACGAATATAGTTAGACTCTTTCTGGCAAAGCATCTTTCTCATTTGATCCTGGGCATCTTGAGACAATCCAACCTAGGTAAATAAACTAGAGGTTAAATAGGGAATTGTATTGAATAGTAAGAAATAGCTTAATAAAAAATTCAGGCATATTTTGAAAGTTAAATGCATAATGATTTTTAATAAAGCATGTTAGAATTCTAGAATGTATTTCAGAGAAAAATTAATGATCAAAGTCAAGCTTGAAAGCTAGTAAACAATACATGAGGTGAGTATGAGTGCACATTCAGCTGTGGAGAGCAAGTAGAAGAGGGTATCAACAGTCAGGCTTCTCTTCCTTCTAGAGCACTCACGGAACAGCTTCCCAATACACAATAAAGCAAATGTCTGTTAACATGCATTCTCAACTCTCTCCGTGCACAGTCCCAAATTATAGGACGAGACTGCCCTCACCAAATCATTTCTGTAGAATGTCTAGGCCTCAAATATCTTCCCCCTCATTTTATCTCTCTCAGAGAGAAATTTTTTCACTCCAGGTTCAATCATCCTTAAAAACAAACAGAAACAGATGGCTCAGCAGGTAAAGGCACCCGTGGCCAAGTCTTGATCCTTAGGACCCACAGGGTGGGTAGAACCAACCCGCCCATGTTGTCCTCTGACCTCTACATGTTCTCAGAGGCTTGTGCACACATGTGCACGAACACACACACACACACACACACACACACACACACACACACACACACACACACACACACACACAAATTAAAATGTAACTAAAAATTTTTTAAAGAAATAGACAAAAATCATGGTAATCTTTCTTTTTCTTTCTGACAGCATTAGCGAAAATGCAAAAGTGAATCTTTCAGATATTCTAAAATAGTTTTTAAAATTATTGTGATAAAGGGCATTATCCAAAAACAGATAGGGAACTAGAGAGATGGCTCAGCAGTTAGGAGCACTGACTGCTCTTCCAGAGGTCCTGAGTTCAATTCCCAGCAACCACATGGTAGCCCACAACCATCTTTAATGAGATCTGGTGCCCTCTTCTGGTGTACAGCAGAACACTATATACATAATAAATAAATAAATCTTACAAAAAACAAAACAAAACAAAACCAAAAAAAAAAAAAAAAACAGATAAACACAAAGCTCAGCTTCTAAGCAGCGACAGAATACCTGGACTTAGAAGGCAAGGAGTTTCTTTGGCTAATACAGAATTTACTAACTTTTAAAAGGACAAGACTTGGAAAAATAGAGGCTAATTTTAGAAATGCAAGACTAATCTCAATACAGCAACCTCATGCTTCTGTTAGGATGTGCACTTGCATGCAAAGTCTTTTCAGAGTGGTAGCATGCCAGATTTAGTACAGAACTCTTTCTCTTAAAATCTTACTTGCCTACACAGTAATGGAGGCTACAGAAGTCAGCAAAGCTTCCAACACCATGAAAGTTTAAGTCAGCTATTAGTGAAAGTGAAGAGGAAAAAGGAAAAATAAACTAAGAAAATACATAGACTTTAGTAAGAAATTCTAAGAACAATGTGAATAAAAGAATTTGTGGTATTTCTCATTTAACGTAATTATTTATAGTAAGAAAATACTGGTGGGGCAGTGGTGACACAAGCCTTTAACCCCAGCACTCAGAAGGCAGAGGCAGGTTGCTCTCTGTGAGTTCGAGGCCAGCCTGGTCTACAGAGTGAGTTCCAGGACAGTCAGGGCACAGAAAAACTGTCTCAAAACCTGCCCCCAGCCCCCCAAAAAGAAAATGTCCTACTGAACTAAAGTGAGACTTGGAAGTAATCATTTAAGAGCTCTTTCAGCATGAAAAGCAGCATAATCTTCTTACACTTTGAGCGGCAGATGTAAAAGGAGGGAGAATTTAAAGCTTTGCATTCCGAGCATATGATAAACCATGATAGTGAGGGCTCGACCATAGTACCTACCAACAATATCTATGTGGGATCTGAAGCGAGTGATCGGTACTCTGATCTCTCAAATGCATTCAACAATTTCAGCATATTTTCCTCAACATCATTAGAAGAGGAAAATAACTGCAAAGAGGTGATTTTGACACTTCCTTCTTTTACTTATTTTTTTTCTGGTGTGTGTGTGACATAGTCTTGCTACATAGCCTTGGCTGCCTTGGAACTAGCAATGCAGGCCTCTGCCTCCTGAGTGCTGGGATTAAAGGTGTGTGTCACCATACCTGGTGACTTTGACATTTTCTAATAATGTGTATATAAAGAATAAATATCAAATTCTCAGCTAAACAGCAATGATTTTTATGTGTACTGAAAACCCAGATATTTCTAGTTGACTTCTGTATGTTGTAAAATAATGTATAAAACCTAGAAATTAATTTATTTTAATTTCCATATCCAATATACTATAAATAATGTATTTTAAATTTACATAAGAACTTTATTATAGGAAATGCTGAACAAATCACTGAAATGCTACAATCAAAAACTTTCCCAAAGTTTACTCAAATTATTGGCAACACATTATATTTCTCTACAAGAATAATGGAGCATAATACTTGAAAATACCAAGGAAAGAGAAGATCAAGTATGAAAATCTTTTTACAAGTTTTACCCGCATCATTTCATTTTCTAACTGTTTCTTCCGATGCAGACGCTGCTGATGAGATTTCAGGACATTTTCCACGTGTTGCTCCATAAAGAATTTAAATGCCTGAGGGGAGTAACTCTGAATACGAGATTCTCTTCGTTCTTCATCTTTCTTGTTTTTCCTAACAGTGATAGGTGAAGTTGTAATCTGTTTCTTTTCTTTATCCCCACTATCAACATTTTCCAAACTTTTCTCATCATCATCGTCCTTGGGTAAGCTAGGCTGATCATCTTTGCATGGTTTACTTATTGACTCATATGGAGGGACAGATGGGTTTTGGTGTAGCAGATGTTTTGGATAAGGTGGTGGTGGACCTTGATAGCTTGGAGCTTCAGCAACGGGTGGAATGACAGGCACATTCGAAGCTGTACCCTCAGGAAAAGGGGTAGGCTGAACAGTCTGAATTGGCTGCGGCATCCAAGAAGGATGGGTAGGGGCTAAAGCAGTCTGCAGCTCTGGTTTCAAGACACGCATGCTTTTCACAGGCTGCTGAATAGGAGCTGGTGTGATCGCAGTGACTGTAGTGGCTGAAGGCTGAGAATTAGCAGAGTGACTTGGTCTACTTCCTAATGGGTTATTAAAAGAATTTGACCTCACTGGTATGTTAGGTTGCCATGTAGGAATTTCATGCCCACTGCTTGGGGATGATTGGACAGGAGCAGAAGACGACTGGGGCCAAGTTGTTGGTAGTCCAGGTACATTAATATTATAAAGCTCCATGTTATGACTGTTCCTGTTTGGCACCATCATTGATTGAGGAATATTTCCATTTGCATAGGATGGAGGAGCAGGAGATCCCCCTGTTTGTAAAGCAGAAGGGCTTTGTCCATTAGTTGAGGTGAGAGGGTATGGAGGTGGTGGCTGCCGATTCATAGCACCAGCAGGGACAACATTTTGGTGCATGATAAAATCGGTCTGACCACCACCATTCGGAACTCCAGGTCTCCCTGGTGGAAAGTTAAATTTGTTAGTACTTTGCATGATGATTGGTTGTCTGCCAACTGGAACAGAATTAATGCCTCTCTGTCCCTGGTTAGGAGGATTCATGGGAGAAGTGTTAAGAGGTGCTGGAGGGTAGCCCTCCTGCCATGCCCCAGGTGGAACAGGAGAGATTCGGGAGATTACATATTCCATGCTCCCAGAATAACGCTTTGTCTGAGAATTTGGTTCCCATGAGGGGGGAGGTGGAGTTGTGCCTCGTGGAGGGGGAGTCTGGCCTCTTGGAGGTGGTGGAGGAGTAACACTTCTAACTTGAGGTGGTGGTGGGGGATTCACTCTCTGTCCATTGCTTGGGTGAGCTTGAGTAAATGCTGTAATGCCGGATCCAGACAGGGGTCTTCCTACATCTGCCTGTGAGCTGGGGCTTTCAGAACGATAGACCACATTTTCTCCTAGAGGTGGGCCATGTCTCTGAGGAACTAAAGACTCTTTAGAACCTTTCCAGCTTTGTTTTCGATTAATTGAGTGTTGCACGTTTCCTATGATTATAAAAGAAAGAACAGTCATTTTTTAAACCTATCATTTTAAAATAATTTATCTCAGAATATTTATACTACTAAATGATACTCAAGTTTAAGAATTGTAAAAAAGGAGTAAGTCAAGAAATCAATCTTACACGTTGACTATAGTTGAAAACAATGTATTCTTGGGCCTGGAGAGATGGCTCAGTGGTTAAAAGTGCCCGCTGCTCTTACAGAGGACCTATGTTCAGTTATCACCACCCACAGGGCAGCTCACAATGGTAACTACAGCTCTAGGGGATCCAATACCCTCTTTTGAACTTCACAGGCACTAGATACATGGGTCCACATACATACATGCAAGTAAAACATTCATAACATAAATATAATAAAAACCCAAAACACTCTTGGGAACTGACCAAATAATTAATTGACTACCCAAAGGTTATGAATTAAAATTTCAGCAAGAGGTTTTACTTAAAAACATGTTTATTACTTTTTATTAATTTTATGTATGTACATGTGCCATAGCATGCATGTGTAAGCCAGAAAACAACTTGAGTCGGGGGCTGGTTCTCTTGCTCTTTTTTTTTTTTTTCTGAGAAGGAGAAGGCAGGGAGGAATGTTTTTGAGACATCCAGGCTGCAGGCTGACCTGGAACTTATAATGTACATACCAAGTTTGAGGCTAGCCAAGGCTACAGAGACCTTGTCTCTTTTTTTATTTTTTAACTTCATTTTTATATTAATCTTACCTTTTAAATTTATTATTATTACTATTATTAATTTTTTGAGACAGAGTTTCTCTGTATAGCCCTGGCTGCCATAGAACTCATTCTGTAGACCAAGCTGCCCTCTAACTCAGAGATCTGCCTGTCTCTGCCTCCTGAGTGCTGGGATTAAAGGTGTTCGTCACCACCTCCTGGCTATTTTTATTATTTTTAATTATATGTATGTGTCTGTGTACCTGAACGGAGATACCCTTGTAGGTCAGAGGCATCAAATCTACTGGAGCTGGACTTGTGAGCCACCTGACATGGGTGCTGGGAATTGAACTTGGGTCCTCTGCAAAAGCAGTACACAGTCCTTTTTTTCTTTTTCTAAAAATCTTGATATGGTAGTTTGAATGAAAATGGCCACCATCGGCTCATAAAAAGTGGTATTATTTTAAAGAATTAGGACATGTGGCCTTATTGGAGTAGGTGTGACCACAATGGAGGAAGTGTGTCCCTGGGGATGGGCTTTGAAATTTGAGAAGCTCAAGCCAGGCCCAGTGGCTCTCTCTTTTCCTTCTGCCTGCAGATGATGCAGATGTAGAACTCTTGGCTCCTTCTCCAGCACCATGTCTGCCTGTGTGCCGCCAAATTTCCTGCCATGTTTCCCGCCAAGACAATAATGAACTAAACCTCTGACCCTGTAAACCAGCTCAATTAAATTAAATGTTTCCTTTCTAAGAGTTGCCATGGTCATCGTGTCTCTTCACAGCAATAAGTCCTAACTAAGACACTCAACATGTTAATTTCTTTTTTATTCCTCCACCTCATAGTATACATTCTTAACCACTAGCCATCTCTCTAGCTGAAGACCTTATCTCAAAACAACAACAAAAAATTTTTAGGGGAGAAATCAAGTTTTGTTGCTGTTGTTCTTTTTTTTTTTTTTTTTTTTCCCCCCAAAACAAAACAAAACAAAAACCTGGGCCTCAAACTAGGGTTCTGTTTTGCTTTCAATTCCTTTTAAAAAGCTAGCTCTTCTGCAGTACTTCCTACCAACGGGGGCACATTTAGACTTTCTTATCTGATAAGTTCCTTCCTCTCCTCTTCCCTTCTTTCTCCTCCCAAATACTAGGGCCTGAACCCAGAGACTCACATTTTTTTGTTTTGCATTTTGAGACAAGGTCTTAAGAGGTGGCCTAAGTTAGCCTTGACTTTCACCAATCCTGCCTCTGTCTCTTGAGTGCTGGGATTCCAGACATGAGCCACCACGCTCAGCCTCATGCTGTCATTCATCTACAATTTCAGCATTAGATCTACCCTACGATGTCATCATCATATAATCTGAGCATCCATATGGATGAATATCCACTGCCTTCATCTCAGTTTCACCAACCCCAGAACTTTATAAATTATTAGGCTGATTGTGGTGGCACACATCTTTAATCCAAGTGCTTAGAAGCAGAGGCAGGTGGATCTCTATGAGTTCAAGGCCAACCTAGCCTACATACAGTTCCAGGCCAGCCAGGGCTACATGGTGAGACCCTGTGTCTCAATAATTCATGATTACCTAGATGGAAGAAACCTGAGTTCTTCCCCACAGACAGTTTGATTGGCACTGTTCTCATCAAGGTCCTCAGAAAAAGGACTGAGAGTTATGCACACTTTTGTTCCTCAGTCAGCTCCAGCTATAATTATGGATTACTTCAGGTGTTATGGGTCAAACTGTTAGGCCCTGCTCCACAATCACTGTGCTGAGGTCCTCCTGCTACTCCTGCCCCTGCCTATAACACACGGACATATTTTGCTAGAAAGATTAAATGAAAATTTTAGGTTAGGCTCCAAACAGTATCACCTGTGTCCTAAAAAGAGGAACTCTGAAGCTGGGGTAATGGTTTGTGCCTCTAATCCCAGCACTTGGGAAGCTAGAAGCTACTGCCAACTCGAGGCAGCCTGTGCTGTATACTGAGCTCTGGCCCAGCCTCAGCTACATAGCAAGATTATGTCTCAAAACAAGACAGCAAAATCAAACCAACCCCTTCCACACAGCCCCCACAAGGATCAGTTTCTTAGGGAGTTTTCCTCTGACCTTGATCTTCAACTTTTTCTTTTTTTCAAACAGGTTTGCTATGTAACATAGGCTGGCTTCCAGCTTATGAGTTGAGTCTCTGGGATTACAGATATGACCCACCATCCCCAGCTCTGATCTTTTTTTTTGTTGTTTTTGTTTTTGTTTTTTCGAGACAGGGTTTCTCTGTGTAGTTTTGGTGCCTGTTCTGGATCTCGTTCTGTAGACCGGGCTGGCCTCAAACTCACAGAGATCCACCTGGCTCTGCGTCCCGAGTGCTAGGATCAAATGCGTGCACTACCGCCACCCGGCCAGCTCTGATCTTGATTAAGGCAAAAATTCCTCTCGAAGGAGTCCAGTACCATGTAATTCTCCCCTCTTTACTCACATAACTATAATGCCATATGTATTGTGACTGTCTGCGCTATGATAGTAGAATATAAGTTTTATAAGTTGCCAGTAACACACTCAACTAACAGGAAAGTTCTCCAACAGTGGTTGATCAAAAACTGTGCTGAACAAAAGGAAAAATGAATAAAATCCTCTTATAACCCAATGGTAAAGAGAAATACATGATTGAAAACAATAAGTACAACATATATTTACTAGTATGTGCAAGGCCTCTAATTCAATTCCTAACAAAGAACCAACCTAAAAACCCCACAAAAACCATTGAACATGGGCTGAGGAGCCGGGGGTGGTGGTGGTGGTGGTGGTGGTGGTGGTGGTGGTGCACGCCTTTGATCCCAGCACTTAGGAGGCAGAGCCAGGTAAATCTCTGTGAGTTCGAGGCCAGCCTGGTCTACAGAGCAAGATCCAGGACAGGCACCAAAACTACACAGAGAAACCCTGTCTCGAAAAACAAAAAGAAAAGAAAAAAAATACAGATATTCTCACTGTAAAATGACAGAATACCACCCTTTTCTAGACAGCAGTATCTCTGAAAAACCTCAAAAATTGCCAAGTTCTTTGAAATTTACTGTTAGGAAGTTCAAAGCCTTAGATGCACAGGTTAAAAAAAGAAAAAAAAAAAAAAAAAAAGAGAGTGGGTACTTGGAGATACAGCACAGTGATAAATCATTTGCCTAGCATGCCTAAAGACCCGGGTTCAGTCTCTACCATCGGGCAGAAAAACAATGAAACAAGGAAATACCCCTGCAAGTGGGATAGTGGTTAAATAAATCATGCAGTGAGTCTCAATGGTGCTATTAAAATTTTGTAGGACTAGGAATGTAGCTCAGTGGTAGAATGAGTGCTTATCAAGTGTGAGGCCCTGGGTCCAACCCTTCCTAGCATCACTGAAATAATTTTTTTGTATACCATTTAGTAACAAAAAAAGTTATGCATTGTAGAATAAGTAAACAAGTAAGATTTAGTAAGAATGATGCTTTTTTTCTCTTTTCCTTTAAAAGTTTATTTCCTAAATAACAATCAACATATATACATATAGACCATTCAGATTTCCCATGGGAAGAAAATAATGTGGTTGAAAAAAAAAGATACTTATTTGCTTATTTATTTATCCTGATACAGGTTCTCACTATGTAGCGCTGGCTAGCCTGAAATTCCCACATACCATTATCCTAATTTGAGATTTGAAACTTCCCTTTATGGGACACTATGATGGCTAGTCTTGGTTGTTAACTTGACTACATCTGGAATCAACTAAAATGCAAGCAGCTGAGCACACCTGTGAGGGATTTTCTTGATTGGATCATTTGAGGTGGGAAGGCTCATCCTAAATTTGGGCCACACCTGGTGGCAGCTCACATATGAGGACATGGAAGAAGGAAGGTTTTGCTTTTTACCTGCTTGCCCTCAATCTTGCTGGCAAATTCATCTATTCTGTGGCAAAGGCATTCCTTTGCTATTAATAAAACCTACTTCTGTAGGACCCCAACAGAGACATGGACTGAACAACTACTGGATTCTTGGCCTTCCAATCAGGAGAGACAGCCAGACTTGTAAGCCACCCTAATTAATAAATACCATTCTAGGGGAACTAGAAAGATGGCTCAAGGGTTAAGAGTACTTGCTGATCTTGCAGAGGACCTGAGTTCAGTTCCCAGTACCCCATATGGTGGTTTACAATTGCCCCAGAGTCTAGACCTCACTGGGCACCAGGAATACATGCATAGTACACATACACATAAAAATAAAATTTAAATAAATCCCCTTTCATTCCTTTCAATTCTGTTCCTCTAGAAAACCTTTACTAACACAGATGCTAACAGCAGTGTCTGTCAGTCTCTCTCTCCATCATTCATTCTTTCTTCCTTCCTTCCTTGCTTCCTGTTTTTTGTTATGTTTGAGACAGGGCCTCCTGCAGTTCAAGCTGACTCTGAATTACTGATTCTTCAGCCTGCCTCCCTCTCCCAAACGGTGATATTACCAGGAGTACACCACCATGCCTGGCAATGTCAGCAATTTCTACGACCAAAGATTTGACATATTCAGGTGTTTTACAATATTCTGTAAAAGAAGAGACAAGAAACATACAAACAAAAAGCCCACACAATGAATCACCTGGTTTCATGCCGGCATTAATAGGTCTGGCAGCCGCTGCAGCCATCTGCTCTCGACGAGGATCTTGGTAACTCATCTTACTAATGAATTCAACAGCTGCTTCTATGCTTCTGTTATTAGTTTTCTGAAGAGCTTGAATAACCATGTCCTGATAAGAAATTTTATCAAAAAGAAACATAATATAAATATAATTAGCAGAAGGAAAGAATAGAGTAGTAAGCACAAGAGAAATTCCTAGTTATGAATAAAAGACAGTACCCCAAACCTAACAATTTTTTTCATTCTCATTTATTTTGTGTGCATGTGTGCACATGTGTGTGCACAAGAATGTTTATTTTTCTTTCTTTCTTTAAGACAGGAATTCACTATGTAACTCTGACTGGCCTAAAACTTGCTATGTAGACCAGGCTGGCCTAGAACTCATAGATCTGCCTGCCTCTGCCTCCTGAGTACTGGGATTAAAGGTGTGCACCACCACCACCTGGCTAAAGATTTTGTTTTTACTTTATTATTTTAAATTGTGTGTATATGTGTGTCTGAACGTGGATTTGTGCACATGAACGCAAGTGTCCTCTGAGGCTGGAAGAGGGAACTGGATTCCTCGGCACTGAAGTTATAGGTGGTTGTAAGCTACTTGATGTGTATGTGCTGAGAATCACACTTAGGTCCTCTGCAAAAGTGCTAGGACTAAAGGCTTTCACCATCATGTCTGGCAGATGTAACTTCTTAAGAGAATAAAAACTAGTAAGGAACTCCTTTACTGATTAGACATACTGGTAAAGGTACTTAATAAAACACTTTAATGATACAAAAGTCACTTCCAGAGTTTTAAAGTTTCAAATTATTTTTTTTTAATTGTTGTCTGGGTATGTGCATGATATGGGGGCAGGCATGTGCTATGACACACATGTGGAGGTCAGAGAACAACCTTGTGGATTCATTTTTCTCCTTTAAAAAAAGTTAAATAATTTATTTAAATTTATTTTATGTGTACTGGTGTGAAGGTGTCAGATCCCCTGGAACTGGAGTTACAGACAGTTGTGACCTGACATGTGGGTGCTGGGATTTGAACTCGGGTTCTCTGGAAGAACAGCCAGTGCTCTTAACCACTGAGCCATCTCTCCAGCCCTTCTCCTTTCTTTTTTTATGTGGGTTCTAGGGATTGAATTCAAGTTGCCAGGCCTGCATGGCAACACATTTATCTGCTTACCATCACTGGCCCATGTCCAGTATTTTTATTGCTTTTTTAAATATGATAATCCTTGTTTATGTAAGAATAAAAAATAATCAAAACCATATTGCTGGTTTTACTCCAAAAAAGTCCTACTAGAAGGAAGCAGCAGGTGTGCTACATAAAGATGAAAATATTAAGAAACATTTCTAAGATTTGAGGGTTTGTTTTGTTTCTTTAATAGTTTGAGATTTATGGGGCTATTATCACCAATTACAAAGAAGACACTAATAATAGGGTGTGGGGACTGACTAGCTGTCTCAGTAGGTAAAGGTGCCTGCTGACAAGCCTCATGACCTGATGACTCTCACCTCAAATAAAGGTGGGAACTGCTCCCTGCAAGTTGTCCTCTGACCGCCACACACTCCCCTTGGCATTCTTGTGCACACACACGCACACATGCACACAAAATAAATGAGAATGAAATATGACATCATTAGGTTTGGTAGAGACACAGCTCAGTGGTTAAGAGTACTGACTTCTAGAGAATTAGGGTTGGACTCCAAGTACCCACATGGTGGCTTACAGTTGTCTATAACGCAAGTCTCAAGGGAGTCCATGCCCCCTTCTGGCCTCCCCAGGCATTGCATGCATGTGGTACACAAACATATGTGCAAGCAAAACCATACACATAAACTAACAAATTTTTTAAATTAGGTTTACATTTTGAAGAAGTATATTTACAGGAAATATACAAATACTGGAAAAATGATAGAAAAAATATTTAGAGTAGCTATGATGAAGAATTTTAGGAGATTAGATACTAGCTGAAACAAATATACATTTATATTTTGTTGTTTTTTAATGTGTTTGTATGTCTGTGTACCACCTGTGTGCCTGGTGCCTGCAGAGGGCAGAAGAGGGTGTCAGATCCCCTGGAACTGGAGTTATAGATGGTTGTGAGCCCCCATGTGGGTGCAGGGAATCAAATCTGGGTTCTCTGGAGAGCAGCTAGTGCATTTAACCACTGAACCACCTCTCAATGATATTTGGAATCAGACTGGTCCAAGGTTGAGTTCCAGCAGCTCCCCTTCAGAATTGTGAGGACTTTTCTAAGTAGTTAATGCTTGAGAATCTCTACCTCCTCGAGTGTGACAGATTCATAGGACTGACCTAAGAGTTAAAAAAGAAAGCATGCAAAGGACGGGAGTGCAATGCCCGGGGCTCAGATGTTGGTAGTCCTCCTGCATTTCTTTAAAATTCACTATAAACATCAAGTATACACTAACATTCAGAAGGCATACAAAAGTACACTTTTCAAGAGGGAGGCAGCTACTTACCTGTTCTAAAATATTTAGTATTTCAAGTGAAAATAAAAATAGATTAGAGCCGGGCAGTGGTGGCACACGCCTTTAATCCCAGCACTCGGGAGGCAGAGGCAGGCAGATCTTTGTGATTTCGAGGCCAGCCTGGTCTATAGAGCGAGATCCAGGAAAGGCGCAAAGCTACACAGAGAAACCCTGTCTCGAAGAAAAAAAAAAAAAAAAAGATCAGAAAGATACTGGATGAACAGATTACTGATAGATGGTTTTCCCTTTTAGACTGGCTGGAAATGAATCTGAGCTAACCAAAGACAGGTGGTAGATACTTTTTAAAAAAAATTTATTTATAAATTATATTTTATGTATATGAGTGCATGAGTGCTCTGCATGTACACCTGCATGCCAGAAGAGAGCACCAGATCTCATTATAGATGGTTGTGAGCCATCATGTGGTTGCTGGGAATTGAACTCAGGACCTCTGGAAGAGCAGCAAGTGTTTTTAACCTCTGAGCCATCTCTCCAGCCCAGGTGAGAGATACTTGCTGCCCACCTGAGAGTAATCTCTCTTGAAAAGGGTACCAAGTTTTTCTTCCTTATTGGGAATTGTACCAAGAGCCTGATTCATTCTAGACAAGCACTCTTTTTTTTTTTTTTTTTTTTTTTTTTTTTTTTTTTTTTTTGGTTTTTCGAGACAGGGTTTCTCTGTGTAGTTTTGCGCCTTTCCTGGAACTCACTTGGTAGCCCAGGCTGGCCTCGAACTCACAGAGATCCGCCTGGCTCTGCCTCCCGAGTGCTGGGATTAAAGGCGTGCGCCACCACCGCCCGGCTAGACAAGCACTCTTAACACTAGGTGTCCCCAGTCCTCTTTTTACTTTTCTTTCTAGGGTGAGTTGAGAGTAACAGCTACAAACTCAAACTCACAGCAATCCTCTTGTCTAAGCTTCACAAGAACTGGGATTCAGGAATTCAGTTTTTCTTTTTCTTTTTTAACTTTTTGGGTCAGGCTTCAACAAGATGCCTAAGTTGGCTGTGAACATATTCTGTAGCCTGGCCCTGAACTTGTGATCATTCTATTTCAGCCTTCCAAGGTATGAGGATTACAGGCTTGTAAGTTACTGATCTTCATGGAGAATACGAGTTTCTGATATAAATCTGTTATGTGATTTGTGTACTGGTCCTTCTTGCATATTGATACCTAGGCATTAGAAGTGGTTCCTGTACTACAGCACACTGCCACCAAGTAAAACCCCAGGGACTCCTGAGAGTTCCAGGCTGACATCTTCAAGAGGTTGAGACAATGGCAATGATTTAAAATGAACCAGTTCTTTTAAAAAATTATCAATTACTTTATTTTCTGTGTATAGGTGTTTTGCCTGAATGTATGTATATGCACCAGTATGTGACTGGTGCCCCCAAAGCCCAGAAGAGGGTGTCAGAGCCCCTGCATCTGGAGTTACAGACCACTGTGAAGACCATGTAGGTGCTGGAAATTGAAACCAAATCCTCTGAAAGAGCAGCTAGCTCTTCTCTAACTGAGCTATCTCTCCACCCCAAATCACCATCATATTCAAAGCATTAATTGAATTTTATTGGATATTAATTGGGTTGAGCAACCAAGCTCAATCTCCAACTGAAACAAGGTATACTGTGGTCATGTTTTATGCCAGTCAGATTTTGCAAATTTGTAATGAGATACAAAGAAATTCTCTTACTTTAAATGAAAATTTAATTTATAAACTGGTTAAATCAAACAAACTGTAACTATGCTATTAACCATCATATTATGGTAGTACCATATCAGCTGGCAAGAAAACTGGCACCCAATATTGTGGGACTCCTATATTGTTAAATGTTCTAGAATTTCAGCCTATGGTTTTGGTGATTATTATCCTGACTTTTGTTTTTTTTTGTGAAAGGATCTCAAGTAGCCCATGGTAGCCTTAAACTGGATATAAACTGAGCATGACCTTGATCACCCCACTTCTACTACCCAAGTGCTGCCACCACAGGCACACATCCGACAGCCAGTTTTATTACACTGGTGAACAAAACAAGACTATTGCTGTGGTTTAAAAGACTGTCACAGAGTTGGGCAGCAGTGGTGTCATGTAGTGGGTACCCCACAAAGTAAACCTCCCTTTTAACTACGTGGAGTGGCCTTCATAATTTCACCAATAGTGCATGCCTTTAGTCTTTGCACTCAGGAGGCAGAGGCAGATAGATGGCTGTGAGTTCCAGGCCAGCCTGGTCTACAGAGCGAGTTCCTGGACTAGTTCCAAAGCTACACAGAGCAACCTTGTCTCGAAAAACCAAAATAAATAAATGAATGAATTCACATATGTAACAATGTCAGTATAGTGCTCAGTGCTGAAAATGGAGAATTAATGCCGGAGTGAAAAGAGGAGGCTGCTCTAACCGGCACCTTTAATACACATGCAATGTGATTTAACAAACAAACAAACAATCTCATAGCCGGGCGGTGGTGGCACACGCCTTTAATCCAGCACTTGGGAGATAAAGGCAGGCAGATCTCTGTGAGTTCGAGGCCAGCCTGGTTTACAAAGCAAGTTCCAAGACAGGCTCCAAAACTACAAAGAGAAACCCTGTCTCGAAAAAAAAAAAACCAAACCAAACCAAAACAAAACAAAACAAAATCATATAATTACGCTTCCATTTTCATGTTTGTAGGAAAAAATACTTTAGTGATTATATATTTATGTCCGCAAAATAAAATCAATACTATTTAACATTTACGCCTATCAAGAAATTAATATTGAAATATTTGAACTTTTAATTCAATAGTTACCAGAAACATTCTCAGAAAAGGAAGGAAGGAAGGGAGGGACGGAGGGAGGGAAATAGACGGATTGGGTATCATGGCACACACCTGTAATCCCATCACTTGGGAGACTGAGGCAAGAGTGATGAACCTGAGTTGAGGCTAGACTAAACAGAGTTCCACACTAACCTGAGCTTTACCAGACCCTGTCTAAAAACACAAAACTAAACAAACAAACAAACACAACAACTACAACAAAAACAGGCAACTAAACTGTGCTGGTTGGTTTTATGTCAACTTGACACAAGCTGAAGTAATTTGTGAAGAGGGGGAACCCCAAATGAAAAAATATTCCCACCAGATTGCCTGTGGCAAGCCTATGGGGCGTTTTCTTGATTGACATGAGAGGGCCTAGCTCACTGTAGGTGGTGTCACCCTTGAACAGATCCAGGGTGCTCTAAGAAAGCAAGCCGAGAAAGCTATGAGGAGCAAGTCAGTGAGCAGCACTCCTGCACAGCTTCTGTTCCAGTTCCTGCCCTGAGTTCCTGCCTTGGCTTTCTCAGTAATGGACTTATAAATTGTAAGACCCAGTAAGTTCTTTTCTACCCAAGTTGCTTTTAGTCGTGTCTTATCACAGCAAAAGAAACCCTAACTAAAATAGAAAATTGGTGCCAGGTTTGTGAGCTATTGCTGTGACAAGACCTGACCATGTTCTGGGGAGGACTGTGGGAAGACTGGAATTGTGGGTGAGAAAAGCCACTGAGTACTCAGAGCTTATGTACTGCTGTGGGAACCTGGAAGATAATGCTGGGGCTAAAAAAAAAAAAAAGAAATAGCTGTTCTTAAGAGACCAGCATTATTGAAGTAAAATGTTCTGGGCAGTGTTTCCTTGGGTAAGTACACAGAAGCTATGGTAGAGAGGGAGCCAAGGCTCTACCTTAGGCTTGCAGCCAAACTTGGTAATGTGTAAGTTTCCCAGGTAGTACTAGTTTTGAAGGCATGAAAAAGTGATGGAGATTAGCTGAGGCTTGGCACTGTGAGAAGGACCACTGCAAAGGCTCTAGGAGACCAGAGGATCATCTGGGATCCTACAAGCTAAGCACTTCTTTGTTTTTTTAATACTGCTCAACCTTGGTTTTGTTTTGATCTGACTGTAACTGTTCCCTGCCTCTTCTTTTTTGAAATAAAAAAGTATGTATCTTTGTTGTTGTTGCTGCTGTTTGCTTTCTGAGACAGCCTTTGCTGTCCTGGAATTCACTTTGTAGACCAGATTGGCCTCAGACTCATGGAGATCTGTCTGCCTCTGCCTCCTGAGTGCTGAGATTAAAGATGCACCACCACCACCCAGCTTATAACTTATTTTTTATTTTACAAGAGCTCACAGCTATCCCAGAACTTAAAACCCCAACTCAGTGTTCCTAGTGTTAGCATGAGTCACCATGCCTGGGTATGACTCTTGATTATTCACCATTAGTTACACTTTAAATAGCTGATTTTTAAAAATTTATTTATTTTATGTGTATGAGTATCTGGCACCGTGTATGTATCTGCACCATGTGCTTGAAGAGGCCAGAAAAGGGTATAGAATCCCCTTGAACTGGAGTTGTATAGATGGTTGTGAGCCCATGTGAGTGCTAGGAATCAAACATGGGTAGTGCTCTTAACCTGTGGGCCAAGTCTCCAGCTGTACATAGCTAATTTTTATCTAAAATGATTTCTGCTACCTAAAATATTCATTCACAAAGAATGTTGTTTTAGGAAACAATTTTTTTTAATAATCTAAACAAGGGGCTGGAGATGGTTTAGTGGTTAAAAGCACTGGCTGTTCTTCTAGAGGACCTGGGTTCAATACCCAGCACCCATATGGCAGCTCCCAACTATCTGTAACCCCAGTTCCAGGGAATCCAACAGCCTCACACAGACAAACATGCAGATAAAACACCAATGCACAAAAAATAAAAATAAATGTTAAAAAAATAATCTAAGCAAAATGTGATTAACTATGTTATGAAAAGGTCTCACAGGAGCTCTGGGATAGACAGTAAAGATTTGGCTTTGTAGTCAGGTGGTGGTGGCACATGTCTTTAATCCCAGTACTTGGGAAGCAGAGGCAGGCGGATCTGTGTGAGTTCAAGGCCACCGTGGTCTACAAAGCGAGTTCCAGGACAGACAGGGCTACACAGAGAAACCTTTCAAAACAAACAAGCAAAAACCAAAAGATTTGGCTTTGTTAGCCTTAACTAAAATTTAAAACTGGGCCTGAGTGACATGAATACACTACTTAGTTACTATAACTCTCTCTCCCTACAATGAATCTAGATTTCATAGACTTCCTTGGAGCTATCACTTTTCTAGCAAAAACTGAGATCACAATGTTCACATTTCAAACTACTCCCTTGCCTCTATCACTTGTGGCTTTCTTCAACTGTACCTCCACTCTGGCTTCACAACCTCATCTATAGAAATCCCAGGATTTAGGACTAGTGCAGAAGAAACTAAAGAAATAATTATACTGTTATATTAATCAGTAGGATTGTAAATATAGCATTCTTTGTTAATGGAACACACAAATTTGTATGCACAGTTGAGCCCTCTCAAAGGAAGACTTCCGTATGAGCTCTCCTGAAAGGTGTTTGCCTTACAGGGTAAGAAGAACCATTTGGTTGGTTTGTTTGTTTTTTGTCTTTAAACATTCTTACCTCATCAAAGCCAGCAGCCTGCAAATCCTGAAACATCTGTGGGTTGACTTCTGAAGGGCTCCGGGAAGAACTTGTTTCATTTGCGAATGGTAGCAGAGAGTTTCGAATTTCTTGCAAAGCTTTATGGTGTGTGCCAAATTTGGGTGGGTTTCTCACTTGCCTAGGATCTTCAGTCGACATCTTGTTCAGGTCATGCTCGGCCTTTGCAGCATCAGATGGTTTAGATAAATTCCTAAGGGATTCTCGGATCTCCTGCAGCATCTGTCGGCTGCTGCCAGGGTAGTTACTGGCAGGAAAGGTCTTAGGCCTCATCTGTCTGTACCCTTCTGGTTTTTCACCCCTCTTCATGAAAGCATCTATATGTGGTCCCCGTGAAGTACTTCTTCAGGAGCTAACCCACAGACTCAGAGATTCCTTCTGAGCAAAGGTGAAAGGGGACGTTCCCAGGAATGTTAAAGTCCTTTACAATCCAAGTGATGAACCTAAGAAAGAAAGTACATAAGTACAGCTACAGTGGTTGAGAAAGGAGCTCCTTGTATTTGGAGAAACCTCTGCTGCTATGAGAGCTGATAGCTCCCAGCTCAAGTTCAGACCTTGTAGGTCAAGGTCAAATCACTTCACTTCTCTGTGCCTATTTTCCTAGTTTCTAAAGTGGATTTACATTATTTCTTACTAGCAGTATTTGTGACCAATAAATAAATAAATAAATAAATCTTAAGACTGCTTTAATAAGTATAGAAAGCATATATAAATGTAAAGGATTACTAAGTGAACCTTAAACAACCTCCCTCTCCAATTTTAAGTCTTGGAAATTATTAGACTTTGGTGTAAGATTTACTTAGAAGAAAGGGTATCAGTGTTTTTAAAAGGTTTTCTATGACTTTTTCAGAAGATTTAAAACTTGTTTGAGTTTACTCCCCAAACTACAGGATGGGAATAAGGGTATCTATATATCCTAGAGATGAAACTCAGACCATCAAACCAGGCGGTGGTGGTGCATGACTGTAATCCCAACACTTCAGAGACAGAGGCAGGCAGATTTCTGGCATGTAGACGAGGCCAGGCTGGTCTACAGAGTGAGTTCCAGGACAGTTAGGTCTACACAGAGAAAACAAAACAAAAGAACAACCACCAAACCTCAGGCCATCAGGTTTGCGGTAACTGCCTTTACCTGCAGAGCTATTTTTCTGGCCCTTCGATTGTTTTTAATAAATGCATTGCAGCAGAGGTTGTATTCATGCACTACCTTCTGTCTTCCTGGGTAGCTCCAACCAAAGCCATGTCTCAGTTTTGAGCTAAGGCAGTTAAAGATTCAGATGCATTCCTTGCTTGAAGGATTTTAACAGGGTTCACTTTGAAATAGTGGGATTATAACATGGAGGAAAAGTGGGTCTCTAAATCACTACATTGAGTCCTAATGACTGCCACTGGACATGTGAATAAGACAGAAACCTCTGTTGGATTAAACCCTAAATATTCTCTTGTTACTAAAAAGCAGTATTGTTATAGCTTGAATATGACATGTCCCAGAGACTTCAGGAAGTGCATCCTAACTAAAGGAAGTAGGTCACTGGAGGTACATCCTTAAAGGACTATATTTTGTCTCAGATCCCTTTCTGACCTCCTTACTGACTGTCATGTGAGACGTTCTGCCATGCATGCCCACAACCTCCAAAACTATGAACCATAATAAGTTTTCCTACCTTAAATCATCTGAAGTAATTTGTTGCAGTGATCAAAAGTCTAAGAGAGGGGCTAGCCAGATGTCTCAGCAGGTAAAGATGTTTGTTGCCAAGCCTGATTACCTGGGTTCGATCTCTAGGATCCACTGTACAATAAGACAATCAATTCCCCAAAGTTGTCCTCTAACCTTCACATGTGTCATGGCATGTGTAAATGCACACATACACACAAATAAATGACATAGAAACATTTAAGTCTACTTACAATCGCTTCCGGGCCTTTTTGCTAAGATTACAGTATCTATCTTTCTAGATACTTACAGTATCTATCTGTCTTTATTAGTATAACATCTGACTCTTCCTCTGAGAACACTATTGCAGGTAGATTTTTGGAGCTGGGATATGGAACTGGCGCCGGATTCACACACCAACCTGATACTGCAGTCCCTCCAGGCAATCACCCCTTCAGGGGACTTCAAGACTCTTGTACTAAACACAATGGAGGCTCCCTTTGGAGCTAACACTCTTGAGGTCTTACTTTCTGTGTTGGAAGAGCATATATGCTGTGTAAGTAACCAAGAGTTTTTATACTCCACGAGCTGTTTTTTCCACCTGGGCTGTAAAGCACACACATACAAAAACCTACTTGTATGAAATTTAAAGTATTCTTAACATTTTTTTTTAATCTAACAGAAAAGTAGTATCAAAGAAGGGAGGTTATTGCTCTGACCAAATGGTTCAGAAACCTTTGGAATTGGTTTATAGGAAGAATTTTAAAAACTCTGGGGCTGTGGGCCAGAGGCTGCTGAATGATGCCTCTAGAACAGAGCTTCAATGGCAATTCTGGTGGGAGGGCAAAACCAAAACAGTAAGAGAAACACACGCAGGAACGGCTGTGCTCCGAGATTTCAGAATGGAACAGGAACTCTACTGAGAACTGAAGGAAAGGTCACCGTGTTGCACTCTGGCCAAGAACATGTCCTGAAGAATTTCCATTAAGCTGAACTGAAAGGTGATAGATAAATTTAAAGGAGAAAGTTTCCCTGGTACTCAGACTATGGCTTGGTTATTGCTGGCCGCCTTAACTGTGAACACTAGGAGGAAAAAGCAGAAGAGAAAATTTGAAAAAATGGGCAGTTTGGCCAGAAAAAGGAAATATTCAAAGTTTTAGACAAAGGATGGTATAGCTGTGAGAGAGCTGGCATTAAAAAGAAACCACTGAGCTAGGGACTGGTGGTGCACACCTTTAAACACCATGCTCAGGAGGCAGAGGCAGGCAGATCTCTGAGTACCAGGCCAGCCTGGTCTACAGAGTGAGTTCTAGGATAACCAAGCCTACACAAAGAAACTTTGTCTAAGGAAAGGAAAGGAAAGGCGAAAGGAAAGAGGAAATGAAAGGGAAAAGGAGAGGAAAAAAGGAAAGGAAAGGAGAGAGGAAGGAAGGAAGGAAAGAAAAGAAAAGAAAAGAAAAGAAAAGAAAAGAAAAGAAAAGAAAAGAAAAGAAAAGAAAAGAAAAAAGAAAGAGAGAAACCACAGGTCTGGAAAGATGAGTCAGTGGTCAAAAGCACCACTCTTCAGAGGACCAGTGTTCAATTCCCAGCATCCACTTGGCAGGTCACACTACCTGTAACTCCAGTTCCAGGGGATCCACTACCCACTTCTGGCCTTTGCCAGCAACAGGGATGCAAGTGGTACACAGACATACATACAAGGAGAATATCCAAACACATAAAGTATTTCTAAAAGAAAAAGAAATTACTGCTTTGGATCAGGATAGTAAGGAAGACGCTTTGAGAGCATCTCAGATACTGGCCAGACTCCACCCATCACAGGCTCAACATATGAAAGAGTAAGCTCATCTGATTTTCCATTAGGAAGACAGCACTTCTGGGGTGCTCTGCTTTCAGGGAGCAGCTTAGAAAGTTGTTTCCCTCAGACTCCTTTCACTGTTCTCAGTCACTCAGTCATTCACAGGCCTATGTAGCTATGTGCAGGATGGGCCCAGCTGGGAGTTGAGCTTGTAGAGGCCTTTGCAGCATTATTGAGAATTCAAGTTACAGGACTTTTAAAAGGAAAGCCTGAATATTAGGCAATGTGTTGCGGTGCCAAAGTTCTTGCAGGCAGCCTTTGAAAGAACAGTGCAAGAAATTGTTGAGGTGAAAGCCTAAACTACCAATTGGGATCCCAGGATGCTGGAAATGCCAGAAACATGGAACATATGTCAAGGAAAGCCAAAATCAGTAAATGAAGCTAGCCAAGAGATATTCCATGTCCAAATAGCAAAGCTATGGTGAAAGGGCTGTCTGCGCCCATGGTCACTCAACATTATGCTATCATGGACCCAGATGCCAGGGCTTAGTTTGGGGTCTTTGCTCCCAATCCTCCCTTTTGAAACAGATTTACTCTGGGTCACTATTAATTAGAAATATATAATTTGCTTTTTTATTTTCCAGGGGCTCACAATTATGAACTTGCCTTGAGCCTCAAGGAAGACTTTGGGTTTTTGAACAAGAGTAGAATTACTGGCACTATGAACATGCTTAGAAAACACAACTGACAGCATTTTGAAATGACCACAAGCCTTTGAGGCCTGGTGTGGGGAATGCCTCCAGAGGCTCACTTGTTAAAACCCAGGTGCCCAGTTGGTGACCCCTATTTTGGGAAGTTCCAGAAACATATGTAAAATAAGGACACTGGGCTGGGGATACACCTCAATGGTAGAGCAATTGCCTAGGATGCCCCAAACCCCAGGTTTGATCTACAATACCACAAAAAACCTGATTAAATTCTGATACTGTCAGCTCACCTTCCAGAAACGTACACCAATTTACAACTCCTTCAATGAAGTATGGCTAACATAGGCTGTATCAAATCTCAATTATCTTCATTACTATGACATATGAAAACTCAATAATCGTCAAAGAGAATTTTAAAAAGAACTCAAGGCAAAACAGCTTCCTACCCTAGAACTATCAAGGAACAATGGTGGCAGATTAGTCTTTCTAATGAACAGTCCATCATGTTACTTTCCTTTCCCACAGCCATCTACTGCTCCTTCCTTCAAGGACTCTTCCAACAGCTGTGGCTAAAGCAAAAGCTCTGGCAGCACACCGGTGGCCCAGGAGGAAGCTTAGCCCTCCCTCTGACCCCACTCCAGGGTCTCTGTGTAGCCCTGGCTGGCTGACCAGGCTAATTTCAAACTCAAAGATCTGCCTGTCTCGGCCTCCAGCTAGACTCTCAACTTTTAAACTGATTAGCAGTGTGACCCTGGGCAAGCTACTTAGTCTCTGTGCCTGTTTTTCATCTTCAAATGTAAGCAAAAATTGGATCCCTCTCATAGGGTTGTTACCGACATTAAATAAGCTCAATACCCATTTTCAACAACACCTGGCCAGCTCCCTTCAACAGCAGAGTCCTGAAAGCTGGGGGTCTTACTCTCACCTTTCTAAATCCACATTCCACCTATCCATCTCCAGACTTGTACCTCACAGTCTAACAAAGTCAACGATTGGCTCTCAGCTAACATACTTGGTGATTTTCTCCTTTAACATTCTTTCTCTCTTTTGTATTCTTGAGAGCCTCTGCCATACTTCTTCTAGAAATTATACTCGACTTCTAAGGCTTCATTCAAATGCCTCCCCTAACAGAAAAACTCTCCCAGAACCTGTTACTCCCTGAGCACAAGACACAGTTTTCCAAATATAATGTCTGTTCTTGTTATAGTCTTATTTTTCCTAGATCACAGATTCACAGAGGATTTGATGTCTTGACTTTATTTGTTTAATGGACAAAGAAACAAATCTAGAAGTAAAGTGCTCTGAATAAGATTGTCTTAATATTTATTTATTTATTTATTTATTATGTATACAGTGTTCTGTCAGCATTTTTGCCTGCATACCAGAAGAGGGCATCAGATTTCATTATAGATGGTTATGAGCTGATGCGTGGTTGCTGGGAATTGAAATCGGGACCTCTGGAAGAGCAGTCAATATTCTTAACCTCTGAGCCATCTCTCCAGTCCCAATAAGGTTATCTTGTAGTCAACTGGAGATAATGCTGGAATGGATCACACATACTCTAACCTAGCCCAAGGCACTTTTCATCACACCTATGTTTTAAGCTTTCTAGATCACACTCAAGCTTGAAAGGACAGTTAAAGTGCTTCAGAAGAAACAAAACTTCCATTAAAAAAAAATAAGGTGGGCGGTGGTGGCACATGCCTTGAATCCCAACACTCGGGAGGCAGAGGCAGGTGGATCTCTGTGAGTTCAAGGCCAGCCTGGTCTACGGAGTGAGTTCCAGGACAGCCAGGACTACACAGAGGAAACCCTGTCTTGAAAACAAAGCAAAACAAAAATTGGACCTTCTTCAAAAGTGTATTGTCTTGTCCATTAGGAAAAACAACAATAAAGAACAAAAAACAGATACAAATACACAGTAAGATTTCAAAGCTTTACATTGAAGCCAGATAAGGTGGCATACACCTTTAATCCTAGCACCCCAGAGGCCGATGAAGGAGGATCTCTGTGAATTCAAGGCCAGCCTAATCTACAGTGAGTTACAGGTCTGGCAGGGCTGTACAGTAAGAACCAGTCTCAGAAACAAACAAAATCCAAGTGTTAACTTGGGCTGGATAAAGTTTATAAAGACAACGCCTAAAACGCTTGTTGAATAAGGATATGTATTTTTCTTAGCAGCACAGTCTTTCTGCTTAGAGAGCTCTACTGACACATCCATCCACTGATATTACCTGATCAAAGGGCTAGGGAGACGGCTCAGTGGCTAAGAGCACTAGACAATCTTCCTGAGGACATGGGTTCCAATCCTAGCATCCATATTGGCAGACCATAATTGTCTGTAACCCAGTTACAAAGGATGCAACATCCTCTCCTGATCTCAGCAGACACTAGGCACAGACGGTGCACATACACACATGCAGGCAAAACATTCCCACACACATGAATACTTAGAAGAGGAGGAGGAGGAAGAAGAAAAGAGTTAACCGACCAAACGTGAAAACCCGGGGTAGGGGTGTAGGTTGGTTTGCAGAGCGCTGCTGGGCATGCACAAAGACAAGGGTTAGATACCCAGCACCACCTAAAACTAAGCTTGGTGTTATGATTGTAATCTCAGGAGAATCGTAAATTCAAGGACATCCTCAGCTACAGAGCAAATTCTAGGCCATCCTAGGCTACAGAGACCCTGTTTCAAAGACAAATAACAACAACAAAAAAAAAGGTGAAAACTGATGAGTGTGGTGACAAAAACCTAGGCAACCTAGTAAGATCCTGTCTCAAAGAAAAGAGGGTGGGGGTAGAGGGCCTCATAACCATCCATCTGTAAGTCCCTACAGACATACAGTGCTCGGTACCAGAAAAAAAATATGAAAAGAATCACATATTTGTACATTGATACTGAAAATGGTCACTTCTACTTTATAATATTATTAAACTTTTGTGGGGTAGAAAAGTCATCTAATCTAAATATCACATGTAAATGGAATTAAATAATCAGAGTAGGAAACATTCCAAGAGTATATGTATATAGAACAACAAAGACTAGCATGAAAAACAGAAACTTAAATGATGGAAATAAAGCCAGATATCATACACATAGCTTAGGAGAAGTTTTTTTTTTTTTTACTTTGAAGAGTCTCAAGACATATTCAGTCAATAATCAGGCACACAGAGAGAGTGCCTTTCCCAGCATGTGCCATGATCTAGGTTCTTGCAATAACAGCCTTTAAGAGAAACGCAAAGGCTCCTCTGACTGACTGCCTTAGGGAATCACCTGGCCCATATTACCTACCTGACTACTTAGTTAAGACAATGAAAACTGAAGGTGTCTTAGCAGTGAACCATACCTTTTTTTCCTCGTGGAGAAAAGCAAATTTAAAACATTCACGGGGCATGATGACACAGACTTTAATCCCAGAAGCAGGCAGGATCTTTTTGAGTTCAAGGTCAGCCTGATCTACATATCGAGTCTTAGGCTAATTAAGTACTTTATACTGTGACCCTGTCTTAAGAAAATTATGATAACCTTCAATAAATAATCCATGAACGTCTGTCAGCCTTCATGATGCCAGGCCTTCAGGCTAATTTCCAAACTTTGAGCGATACCATATTGTGTGAGCCTGTAACTTCTAGAGAATGCACATATTTTAAAAGTCACATTTACAGAAGTCGACAAATATTTTAACCTTGTTCCCTTAGAAAATAATCCTCATTTGCAGAAGTCGAAGTCGGGGTAAGTCACCTGCGAATCACTCTTTTCTTCGCTCCAAGCTCTCTTTTTCCCTCGATTGTCTTGCCTTCGTTTTCCACACTTATAAACACACACTGACTAAGTTGACACCGTCTCTCCCACCCCTTGCCACTAAGCGGTGACCTAACACATTGCAGCGGGCTGGAGCGAGTCCCAGGATTGCTTCCAGGTATACCCCGACCCCGAGGCCCGCTGCGAGGCAAAAGAAGCGTAGCCGGTCTGGTGCAACCTTCCGAGAAAAACAAAACAAAACACACCACCTTTCGCTTATCTGTCCTCTAAACCTGGGAGGGGCGAGGGGGGGTGGACAGCGTCGCCTCGGGCCCCCACCGGCCTCTTCCCAGCCGAACTCGCACCTCCGAGGCCGCAGTGCCCCGGGCTCTTCTTCCTGCGGCGCCGGGTGCGGCCAACCTTCATTTCCCCAGGGCAGGGCTCAGCTCGGGTCAGCGCAATCAGCCCAGTCAGGCCCGGACCCGGCCGGCTGAGCCCGCCGGTCCACAGCGGCCCCTGGACCCCCGCCAGCGGGGATGGGCGTGGGCCCCGACGGCCACCGCCCCGCCGACCAGGGCTCCGGAGAGGAGTGAGCCCCACCCGCAGCGCGGGCTCCGGACTTACCTGCAGGGGAGAGCGGGGCCCCTGGACAGCGGCCACGGGCCCGAGGGCCGGCGCCGCGGCGGCCCGGAGCCCTTCCCCGGAGGCCCCGAGGGTCGCCCGGGGTTCGGGATGGGGGCAGGGCGGGGACGCACGCCGGGGGAGCTGAGGCCGGCCAGCGCGGCCCGACGCGGGGTCGCGAGGACCTGGCTCTCCCCTCAGCACCAGGCCGTCGCCGCCGACGCCATTTTGCCTTCCACTCCGTGGAGCCGCCGCCGCCGCCGCCGCAGTCAGCCGCGGGTTTCCCGGATGTGGGCATTTCCCGGCGTCGCTTGCGCGGGGGCCGAGGACTGGGGGCTTCAGGCCGCCCCGCTGGGGCCGGGAGCGAGCGCGCCGGGCTCGTGGTCTCCCGCACGGCCGCTCGCCTGCTGCCCCGAGCCGGGGTGAGCGTCGCCTGCGGGCTCCAGTGGCCTGGAGAGTGGAGTCGGTCCCGGGACATGGCTCGGGCGCGACGCGGCGAGCGTGGGTTCCACCGGGAAAGGGCGGTGAGCGGCGCTCCGAGACCACGGACGTCTGGAGGCAAGAAGTGTGGGGCTTGAATAAAACCGGAGTCTTCGCGACCTTGGAGCGTTGTGTGTTTTTGGAATCAGCCAGATGGAGTTTTCTTGATACTGGACCTATGGATTAGCAGAGCTCGGTCACTCGGATCCGCTGGAGAGGTCGTTGTAGCCAGAAATGGAGTAACGGGGCCGTGTCAGAAGTTCTCTTATGAAATTGAATCTGCGGTCTGGGATGCATTAACTTTGGTCTTAGAATGTACTCTTCTCTTTTTGCAGGGATATGGTCCAGATAGGGGCTCTCTAGGCAATCTGGGATGGGCTGGAACTCGCATTCTCCTGCCTCACTTCCTTCCCGAGCATTGAGATTCTAAATGGTGCCAGCCAGCACTGACCCTTCTACCCCCTGTAAATACAAACACCTTCCCTAGTTCTGCCGCTAGGAAATACATGCAATTAGTATTTTTCAGATCATCTTTTGTGTGTTAAACTAAGAAGTAAAAACACTGACGTCCGTGCGTTGCCAGAAATCGAACAATGCTATCGATACAAGTGCCCTACCACTGAGCTGTCTTCACAACATTTTATAGTTTTCATTTTGAGACTGGGCCTCACTGAGTTATCCGGGCTAGCTTTGAACTCATGTTGTAGCCCAGACAAGCCTTTAAACTTGTGATCCCTCAGCTGCCTCCAGGGTAGCTGAGATAACAGGCCTGTTCCACAAAGCTCTGCTCTGCCTTTTTTCTGAGGTTAATTACTGGGTACTGTATCCAAAAGTTCAACTGTGAAACCTCAGATGATCAAATTTTGGAGGCCAGGGAAATGTTTAGTGTGGTTGCTGCCAATGCTTTAGATCTGTTGTCATAGTAAAATCCTTAGTGTGGCTTCAACCCCTGCAAATCGAGGTCCCCATTTTGTGCTTTGGTAGGTAGTTAAAATATTAAGAGGCACGTAAATTCAGTGGACCATGTCTGTTGATTTGAACGAACTATTAAAAAAAAATAAATAACCACGGAGCTGAAGCTGCTTCTTAAGAGGCTAAGTCACTGCTTTAAAGCAGAGTAGAGAGGCCCATAAAAAACCCTTGGGAAAGAAGCAGGGGAATGAGGAGTAGATGCCTGACCAAAGGCTGCAAAACCCAAACCACAGACCTCCAACCTGGAGTTGGAGCACATCATTACCAATTTTTTTTTTTTGCAATTTGATTATATGAAATTATTTCGTAAGTATTTTCAACCTTCAATTAATCAGAATAATTACCTTTGGAACACTTTCTATATTAGCACATTTTTTTAGATGTTAGAAAACTACGACTAAGTTTGAGAAATTGTAATTCTAGAATGTATATTGTTCACAATATATGATGTGAAAACATTTATTTTGGGCAGTAAATTTGGCTCATGTAAGCATGCATTGATAAGCTGGGGAATTCTTGGTATGTGATGCAGCTAGTTTTCAAGGGGAGAGGTCAACAGTTGACATCCTTTGAAATAGCTGAACCCCAAGCTGCCCTGTGTGCATAGCAACCCACCTTATCTGTTGGCTAGATAGTTTTTGAGTGTTTTCCTTGATTGTATATGCGGACGCTATGTGTCTGGCTCCTTCAGAAGTCAAAAGAGGATGACATCCCCTGGAACTGCAGTTAAAGATGGCTGAGTCACCATGTGGGTGCTGGGAATTGAACCTAGGTCCTCTGCAAGAGTATCAAGTGCTGTTACCCACTGAGCCATCTCTAGCTCTTGGCTACATGGTTAATTCACATACTTCTGCTTGGATTCTACATTGTTGTTTTTGTAGAACTGTTAAGTTAAATGAAGGCATGTGTTGAACCACACTGGTACCCCCTGATGTTCTACTTTCTGAAGATCAATCATTGATCAGAGTCTAATAGGCTTGGGGGAGGAGCCAGCCAATAAGCCAAAACTGGGCACTGCCCCATTAACAACAGTTTACTATTTCCTTGCAAATACCACACTTGCTTATGATAGAATTTACACACGATGGAATTGATAACTGGGTTTTTTCACTTTCATGAAAATAGTTGTCTGGTAACATAAATGGCTTCTGCATCAGTCCCACAAACAAGACAGGGACCTAAAACATCCAAACTGTTTACAGACAGAGTCCTGCTGGGAAGCAAGCTTGTGATTTCAATTCGGTCTTTGGCAGGATCTGTGCTGAGCCAGGAACTTATTAGAGACTGGTGAACACTGGCCTGGTTACTTATACTATGAGATAGGAAAGTACTGCTTCTTCCTCCTGTGAGAAGAAAAGAGGAAAAAAAACCATTAAGATGGCCTTATGAGACACCATGTCCAAGGCAACTTGTAATACAGAAATGTTTATTGGGGCTCAGGATCCACTGCGTTAGAATCCATGACTATCATGGAGGCATGGCACCAGGCAGGCAGAAATAGCCCTGAAGCATTAGCTGAATTTACATCCTGATGCACAGACAGTGACACTTGGGAATGGCCTTTGCTTTTGGAATCTCTGAGCCCACCCTCAGTGACATATCCTGTCCAACCAGGCCACACCTAATCTTTCCCAAACAGTTCTACCAACTGGGGACCAGTCATTCAAATACATGAGCCTATGGTGGCCATTCTCATTCAACCCACAAAGACTAACTTCCTATCACTAAACATAAAGCTTCTGTTGATACTACAAAAAGGTAGTAATTCCAATGAATCTAACTCCATTAAATCAGGGTTATGTGGGGACTGAATAAGCACAAGATGATAAAAAAAATTCTACTAATTCATCTTTTCTTGTTTTTTGTTCTTTGAGACGGGGTCTCTCTATATAGTCCTGGCTGTCCTGAACTACTTATGTAGACTAGGCTGGCCTCAAACGTTCAGAGATCTGCCTGAGTGCTGGGATTAAAGGAGTGCACCACCACACCCAGTTTCTATCAAGTCATCTTAAAATTTTTTATTACATTTATTATGTGTGCATGCATGATGCATGTAGCCACAACCAAAGGAGAAAGCAAAAGGAAAGATTTGTTTTAATTATGTGTATATGTATATAGATCATAGAGATCAGAAGGTATCTTGTAGGAATCTGTTCTCTCCTCCATCACATGGGTCCTGGGAATCAAACTCGGGTGTCAGTCTTGGTGGCAGTACCTTTACCACTAAGTCATTGCTCTAGCCACATGTCATCTTTTTGACTAAAAACTTATTCAGTGTTAGTAAATACTAAACATTTGAAGGGAAAATATGGATACCAAAGTTGTAGTCTTAAGTAAAACAAATTTAGTTGTTCCCCATTTTTCTGTTTATTATCTTAATGAAAAATCGCAGAGGGGTGCCATAAAGAACCAAAAATAAGGAAAAAAAAAGAACCCAAAGTGTACACAAAAATTTAAGTTCCTCACTTGGGAGGTGAAGGATCTCTGTGAGTTCAATGCCAGCCTGGGCTACATAGAGAGAACCAGTCTCAAAACCAACCAAACAAACAAAGGTAAAGTTCCTAGTTCAAATGAATGAATTTATAGGGGCCCAAGAGATGGCTCAGCTGTTAAGAACACATACTGTTCTTGATCTGGGTTCACTTCCCAGCACCTAAGACAGATGGCTCACAACCACCTATAACTCCAGCTTCAGGGGATCTGCATCCCTCTTCTGGTCTCTGCTGCCAGCTACACATATATACACATACATGAATGTAAACACACATAATATACAATTAAAACAAATCTTTCTTTTTGCTTTAGCCTTTGGTTATTTTATGTGTCTGGGTGTTTTGCCTGCATATATGTTGGTACACCATGTATGTGCCTGGTACATGGAGAAGAAGCCATTGGATCCCCTGGAATTACAGGGTCCTCTGGAAGAGCAGCCAGCGCTCTTAACTGCTGAATCCTCTCTTCAGCCTGCCCTCTTTGTTTTTTGTTTTTGTTTTGAGACAAGGTCCCATGTAGCCCAGGCTGGCCTCAAACTCAAGTCTGTAGCTTAGGATGGACTTAAACTGATCACCCTACCTGCCTCCACCTCTCAACTGCTGGGAGGTTCCACGAAGGCCTGTCTTGCCCTTTTCCTTGATCCTCCTGGTCTGCCTACCTCTCTACACAGAAAACTTTTGTGTATTTTTCAGAGTTGCTTTCTGTTTCATTCCACTGTGGTCAGTGCTTTTAACCAGCAAGACTATGCAAGCTAGAGAGATGGCCTCTGTGGGCACTGCACACATTGCAGATCCCCTGAAACTGGAATTACAGACATACATGCAGACAAAAGACTCATACATGTCAAATAAAAGTAAATCTAAAACACAAACAAAACAAGAGAATGTGAGCCAGTTTGGTGGCACATACCTTTGATTCTAGGACTCAGGAGGCAGAGGCAGGCAGATCTTTGTGAGTTTGAGGCCAGCCTGGTCTACAAAGCAAGAAAGATCCTGACTCAAGTTGAGATTTAAAAGATTCTGAAGCAGCACCCAGGAACTTTACCTTGGTGAAAGAGAGAAGACTTTTCGGGTCCATTTGTGGAGGCATCCCAATGCCAGAGGGATCCATCTTCAGAACAAGTAAACAGATGATCCGGGTTGGATGGGTGGAAGTGGACCTCCCACACTAAGAGACAGAGGGAATCGATTTTAATAGTCCATAAACGACTTAACAGTTACTCATATACAAGTACTGGCTTTTTTCCATCTGCACGTTATAGTCACCAAAAGATTACATTCTATCACTTTTTTACCTTTGAAGCCATTGATTTTCAACTGACTTAAAAGTTTATAGGCTCCCCAGCTCATTTGCACAGGAATAAGCTGCTCGATTTTTATCTATTAGTGTGATTCCAGCAGCTGGGAGACAGAGGTTTGCCTTGAACTCCTAATCCTGCTGCCTCTGCTTCCCAGCTGCTGGGATCACACATGCCTGGCTGACCATTTCTTAAACAGGGTCAAGCTGCAGTACTGGTTTGTTTCCTTTCTTGTATTTCTATTTGAGCAAAGGCCATAAGAGAGTGTCAGAACCTCTGGGACTAGAGTAATCATTAGAAGTTATAGCCGGGCAGCAGTGGTGCATGTCTTCAGTCCCAACACTCCGGAGGCAGAGCCAGAGGGATCTCTGTGAGTTTGAGGCCTGCCTGCTCTACAGAGCGAGATCCAGGACAGGCACTAAAACTACACAGAGAAACCCTGTCTCAAAAAAACAAAAAAGTTATGAGTCAGCATGTGGGTGCTGGGAATAGAACATGGGTTCTCTGGAAGAGTCATCTTTCCAACCCCTTGATTTTTTTGAATAATGAAATGATAAACAAAGAGTCCCGTTCTCAAAAAGCAAGTATGAAACAAAAGGATCAGTTGGAGCTTGGGATATAGCTCAGGGGCAGAGCAGAGCACTTTATGAGGTCCTGGCCAAGTCCCCAGTAATGAGGAGTGGGAATCTATTTTATCAGAGTGGTGGCTCATGGCTGTAATCTCAGCACTTAGGAAGCCGAGGCAGGAGGACTTGGTAAGGTGGAGTCCAGTCTGGGCTACACAGTAAGCACCAGGCTAACCTAACCTGGGTTACCCATCTCAAAACTCCACAAAACTAATTAATTAATGAGCAAATTAGCAAATGTGAAGTGATAATTTTATACAGAACAATCAGTAATCTGATAACATGCAATAGGACAGTTTGGCCCATTGATTCTATTTCTAAAAAAACAAACAAAAAAAAAACACTAAGAAAATCAGCTCAGTAAGATGGGTAGTAATAGTGCATGTGCCTTTAATCCCAGTGCTCAGGAGGCAGAGGCAGGCGGATCTCTGTGAGTTCAAGGCCAGTCTGGTTTACAGCGTGAGTTCTAGGACAGCCAGGGCTACACAAAGAAACCCTGTCTCAAAAAAACCAAAGGAGGGGAAAAAGCGCATGCAGTAATACTGCAGTTCTAGATATAAAACATTAAAGAGCTTAAACACAGAAAAGGAATACCTAGCTTATACCATGTAGATATTAAAAACTTTAATGTGAAATGATCCCTATGTATCATTATATGCTTATGTGAGTGACTCATCCAACAGAAACCTTCTGCATCTCCACAATACTTACTTTCAGCCTCATGAGCCTTAAGTAAAGATACGGGCATGGTGCCTTGTCTAACATCCCAAATACTCAACATCCCGTCCTGGCCACCAGTAGCTACAACATGCTGCTGGTTGGGATGTCTGTCAACACAGTGGAGCGGCACTCGGTCACCAGTCCTTTTAAAGAAGATAGGACAATATCAAAGATGTGCGAAAGGACAATTTATCTTTGCATAACAAGAAGCTTACTTTATGTGGCTGGAGATACTAAATCTTAGTGATGCCAAAAATTTTTAACTAAATTAAATATACTTATAAATAATAAAGTTTTAGAATTAAAGGCTACAATTACTCATTGTTCAATTTGGAAACACAGGAAGCAAAACAACAGAATGGTAAGATGTGTAAGAAAGATTTCCTTTGAAAAGTATGTGTCAAGCTGAAGAGCTGGCTCAGCAGTTACTCACAGGTGCTATCCAGAGACCTGAGTTCAATTCATTGCACCCGTATCACTGGCTCACAGTCACCTGGAACCCCAGCTCCAGCCCATAAACCTGTCCTTCGGGTACCTGCAATCATGTGTACATAGCCACACAGACACATACAGTTTAGCTAAAAATAAATTTAAAAATAAAAATATGTATAAATTACACCAACTGTTTTATGCCTATGCTCTTAATTTAAATTTTTAAAAAAGTCTGATACTGCATTTTAGTTTCTTGAGAGAGCAGCAAAGGTCACACATCTAGAAAGGGTGATTTCAGCTCTAAAAAAATTATCTTGAATTACATTTTCTTCTGAAATCACATCTACAGTGTATTTTACTCACTACCGATACAATCATTTGATAAACAGCAACAAGTTCTCTGTTCAACAGTATACACTTCAAATACATAAGGCTCTGAATCAATACAACAAACACTTGCTGAATTTAGGATGGCAGAATCAACTCCATCACGTTATCCTTGCTTTATCAAATGAATCATGCACCAGTGTCTCTGAAATGCATTGGAATGCAAAGCTGGGGGATGGGAACAAAATGGCTCAGCAGTTAAGAGCACAGGCTGCTCTTCAGAGGACTTGGGTTCAATTCCAGCACCCAGCAACACACAACCGTCTATAACTCCAGTGCCAGGGAGTCCAGTGCCCTCTTCTGGCCTCTGAGGCATGACATGCATGTGGTGTGCACATACACAAGCAAGACAAAACACCCATACACATAAAAATAAATTTAAAAAAATGCAAAGTTGACTGCAGCAACCAACCCAACATAACTCTGTATCACCCTACTGAAGTGACAAATCAAAACTTACAGTGATAGTATCTGACAGGGCTCACTTCCCTGCTGTCTGAAATCCCATATTTTTAGCTGTCCAATTGAGTTGACTGTAACGATCTCAGGAGTTCGAAGGAAGGTCACAGCATGCAGTGTACTGCTGTCCGCATTATCTGCACGTTTTAGAAATGGAAGCAGGTGTTAACAGGCCCCTTTTAGAACACTGGTTGAAACATTAGTTTCTAATGACTCAGCATACTTTTTAATGGAGAAATGTGGAGTAAAATACATGCCTAGATGTTCTCTTCCTCTCTCTGGTAGAGAGCATCACTCACAGGGCTGCTGTTTTCTAAATGCAGGGCTGATTTACCATTTTGTTTTTCTATTTCCTCTTAAGATTGCTATACTAAATTCTATCTTTTTTTTTTAATTTTATTTATTTATTTATTTATTTATTTATTTTTGCTTTTTCAAGACAGGGTTTCCTCTGTGTAGCTTTGGAGCCTGTCCTGGAACTCACTCTGTAGACCAGGCTGGCCTCAAACTCAGAGATCCACCTGGCTCTGCCTCCCAAGTGCTGGGATTAAAGGCGTGCACCACCACTGCCCAGCTTATTTTTTGGTTTTTCAAGACAGGGTTTCATTGTGTAACCTGGCTGTCCTGGAACTCAATCTGTAGACCAGGCTGGCCTTGAACTCACAGCCTCTGCCTCCTGGGTGCTGGGATTAAAAGCATGAGCCACCACAGCTTGGCTTTTTATAATGGTTTTTTTCTTGGATTTCCTGGAGTGTTTAGACCTGAGGCACACGATACATACTTCCAAACTTAACTTGTACCACTTCTGTACATTGCCAGCACGCAGCAGCCCTTAGCAATTAAGCAAGTGTTATAACTCAGAAATTAAACAATTAGAACAAAGAACACAAGAAACTGATGCCTGGGTGCAGTCCTTGGAGATTCTCATCTAAGAGGTCTAGAGTGGGACCAAGACTCTCCTCAGGCAAGTCTGAGGGAAGCAGCTAAGAACCAGACACCTCACTAGCCCAGGTCTAAACAGCCCCGGGAGTCTACCATTCCCTGCTGCTAAAGATACCTAACTTCTGTTGCTATGCATTCAACACTCTGCAATCTGATCCCAGTGTACCTTTCTAGCTTCACCTTTCACCTCTCCAATAACAAATATCTAATGTCAGCTCACCATATACTTTGTCATTTGCTATCTGGTTTATCCTGACTATCACCCTGACTATTACCATGCTATTCCCCCTTTTCTGGTGTATCATATTTTAGTATTGTTTATGGTACAGAATCAAGAATATATTAATTGCCACTTGCTCCACAATTATGTGATAATTCCTTCTAGCTAAAAACAAAACACCACCACTTAATAATATCTTTCTGCTCTTTTATCAGTTATTTACACTGGCCTTATCCACACACTGTCTTATAAAGGGACCCTGCCATGTGTATTTTCACACTCTTCAAACACTTAAAACCATGTTTACTTAGTCCAATTACTATGCAGTGGATAGAAGAAACAGGGTTGCTCTCACCTATCGTTCTTACGGCCTCCTTGTGATCGACTCTGAAGAGATTTATTCGCCCATCCTCTCCGACAGTGACAATCTCTGGGTTGTCACACACGATCCCTGTACATGGTGCACTGCCGTAGGAAGGACTGCCGGGACCTGTGTGGTGGTGAGCTGCCGGCCACTGCTGATTGACGGACAGGGTCTAGGCATCAGAGATGAGCACACTATTAACCAGAGCAAAGGTCTAAGGAATGAGCCCCTCTCCCCAGGAAGTTTTGTTTTTTTTTGAGACAGGACTTCCAAGTGTTTGGGATTATAAGTGAGCCACCATGCCTGCCTAATAACTATTTTTTGATTGTGTCTCATGTCCTTGTAGAAGAAAGAACAATTCTCCCTATTTCTTTGTATTTGAGCAAACTGATGTTTAGAAACTACTTCCATCAAATTTCTCTACATTCTAATTAGACTCACCACTTTATCGCAAACTAATGATTTTTGTTACCAGGTAGCAGAATGTTCAAATATTTTTTAAAAATTTATGGGGGCCGGGCGGTGATGGCGCACGCCTTTAATCCCAGCACTCGGGAGGCAGAGCCAGGCGGATCTCTGTGAGTTCGAGGCCAGCCTGGGCTACCAAGTGAGTTCCAGGAAAGGCGCAAAGCTACACAGAGAAACCCTGTCTCGAAAAACAAACAAACAAACAAACAAAAAAAAAAATTTATGGGAATAAAATAATATATAAGGGACTAACCTCTACATCTTTTTCTACATGTTTCCATTAAGAAAACGAATTACCCGGGCGTTGGTGCCACACGCCTTTAATCCCAGCACTCGGGAAGCAGAGGCAGAGGCAGGTGAATCCCTGTGAGTTCAAGGCCAGCCTGGTCTACAGAGTGAGTTCCATGACAGGCTCCAAACACTACACAGAGTAACCCTGTCTCAAAAAACCAAAGAGAGAAAATAAAAAAAAATAAAAAAAAAATAAAAAAAAAGGAAACGAATTAAAGCTGGGCATGATGGCACACACCTTTGATCCTTTGATCCCAACACTCAGGAAGCAGAGGCAGGTGGATCTCTTAGTTTAATGCCAGCCTGGTCTACATAGTGAATTCTAGACCAGCCTGATGTACATAGTGAGCTCCTGTCTCAAAAAACAAAAAAGCGCGCACGCCCCTGAATTTATGTGCACTACATATACGCAGATGCCTGCTCAGGCCAGAAGTGTACATTTGATTCTCTAGAGTTGGAGTTTTAAGCTATTGTAAGGCACCTGGTGTGGGTGCTGGGAATGGAACCAGAGTTCTCTCCAAGAGTAGTACAAAGTCTTAACTGCTGAGCTGCCTCCCCAGCAGCCACAAGAGAGAGGTCTTTAGGTAGTGGGTCCTCTCAAGACCTGGTTCTACCCATAAAAACAGCTGTCCCCACCCCCCTTTGTGGTTTTTAAGCTAGAAGCCGAGCATGCATACGTGCTTGCTTACTCACGTTCCCCATTCAACCCTGTAAAAGACCATCAGAGGTGCTGACAAAACACTAAGGAAAATTACCACCAGCAGATGTTAGAGTAATGAACACAGTTTATTTAAAGGATGTCCAATTTCCGTAGAAGCAAACGTAAGCATGATGCAGACTTCATCAAAAAGTAATATGGGGCTAGGGGTAAAGCTCAGTGTAAGAATGCATGCTTTGACCCTCACCAACCCCTAAAAAGTGGACAGTATCCTCTCCTATTGTGACTTTCTTTTAAGGTAAGGTTGTGCTGTGTTGTCCAGGCTAGTCTTGAGCTACTGTGATCAAAGAATTCATTTCTCTCAACCTCTGGAACCGTGGAAGCTCCAGGAGTGTGCCCATGACTGACTCCCTTCATGTTTAAACACTGTAAAACACTATGAACTCATTACACACAATCTTCTGTAAGCCTCCTCAGGAATAATTAAAATACAAATAAGTAAATAAAATACAAAAAGTAAACAAAAAAGTTCACTTTCCCAACGAAAGTTCTTTACCTGGTTATTTGGATGGTGAAGGAACACTGTTACACATCCCGTTGACGAAGCAGCTACAATTCTTTCCTGGTCAAAAAACTAAACAGAAAATTTCTGCATATTACTATAGATTTGGAAATATTAATGAGAAAAAAGTGCCTTACTTCAACTTGACTAACAGCAAATCCTGTAAGAATTTAAAGAAGCAAACAGCCTATAAACACTAAGCAAATGAGATGTGTTATATTTTTTATATAAATTAGGAGTATTTTCATGAAGGATGAATAGTTAAGTTTAAAATTCTACTCCATATTTTTAATTTTGGGCTGCAATGATAAAAGTTTAGAAATGTCTTATTCCTAAGCATAGGCAGCTTTTTACTGAGTAAAATGCATGGCATCTGAATTCATATAGAATTTCTTTTTGATGAGGGGGGAGGAGCTCTCTGTTGCCCACACACATTTTGAGCTCCTATTACTTCAGCTTCCTAAGGAACTGGGACTACAAGCATCTATCACCAGTCCAGCTTTGAAAATCTATTACTGGTCCTGAGATCTTTTTAAATAACGTAAGTTCTCTGAGTCTTAATAAACCTTGAACATGAAAACACTGATTTTTACTAAGTTGCTAAAGGAACCACAGAAGAACAATCCTGCACAGTATTTTTTATATATGTTCAAAAGATACCATTCTCATCTATCTGATAAGTGAGGTAGTGAACAGTACTTGAGGGCTGGGATACATACACTCACAGGTAGAGAGCACTTCCCTAGGACATGTGAGGTCCTGAGATCATCCTCATCACACACAACTCATGATAAAACGTGACTCACAGACATGTAATGCAAATTAACATACCTGTATAAAACTCACCAAACAGCGTTTGGCACGTAGATGGGCAAATACTATTGTCTTTGAGATAAGGTCTCACTACATAGCCCAGGCTGGCCTTGTGAGTCCCTCCTGCCTCTGCCTCCCATGGACTGGAATTAGAGGCTGGCACCCCCAGGCCAGGCTTGAGCAATTAATTTTAAAACTGAGTGACCTGAATTCACTTTCTTAGCCACACTTCTGTCACTAAGTGCCTGAACAATGATGTGGCAAATTACAATTCAGAGGTTAGTGTCCTGTGGACCAGGGGTGAGAGCAGACAAACTAGAAGGTGCTACATTACCTCTAAATGTATTCTCAAATTTCCAAAGTTAGCTTTGGGGGACAACTCAGATTTACCTGCAAATCCATGACATCACCATGATGTCTGATATCGCACAGCAATTGATGGTCTCCTTCAAACCCTCCGTCAGAATCCAAATTCCCAAAATCTCCAATAGACCATAGTGAGACGCAATTTTCCTGCAAAGCAGAAAGTTTTATCTTGGGGGTGACGAAAATGTCAACTCTAGGAAAGCAAAATTCAGACTGCCTTTCGGGCGACCTTGCTTCTTCAAAAGCATCTCAAGACAAACGACATGGTAAGAGCTGAAAAGATCAGAGATGTGGCCTGGTTCGGACGGTATGACTACACACTTGGGGGAGGGTTTAAAACCAGATCCGAGGCTCAGATACCCCACCAGGGCTCTCAGGTAAGCGGGCAGCCAAGCAGGAGACTGGCAAGCCAGAGGCTGCATTCGCGCGCCAGCGCGGGGGGCGTGGAGCAGAGCAGCCGCGGCCGCCCGGGACCGGGTACCTCATTGTCCCAAGAGCCCGTAGCGAAGGTCTCTGCGGTCTGCAGGCTCCCGGAAGGCACAGGCCGCCAGCGGGTTTTGCTAATTTTCTGAGACACGAACTTAGCATAAATTTCCTCCATGCTGAAATCTACTAGAAGGTTCAGCAGAAAGCGCACTGCGCGCTCCTCAGGTCCGCCCCTTCCTGCGCAGTTCTGATTGGATGAGAACTCACGGGGCAGACGGTGGCTGCAGGGAGCCAATTCTCGACAGCAGTAGGACGCGCCAGCCCCTGGACTGAAGGCGTCTGATGCTCAGTCTTTGCATCTGAACAAAGACCGGGCACCTAAAACCTTCAGCAATAAGACACACTTCTAAGGCGAAATCAGTCTAGGAACACTGACAATATACCATTTGTCCAATAACTGTGTAATAATGCTAGAAGTTTGTTTTATTTATTTTCTTCTTTATAAAAAACTTTATTATAAAAATGTTGCAAATAAAAAAATCATCACACACCAAAATTAACTTGACCCAAAGACTATACAATCTAATGAACTTCTATACATTTAGCGCAGCCATTCAGAAGCTGTGGAGCTTCATACTGGATTTTATACTTCCACTATCTAATTATATTTATTTTATTTTATTATCGAATATATTTTTATGCACTTATCCACCACCAACCCCCCAAAAAATCCATGACAGATTCAGAGATTGGAAAACGATTAGATTTATTATTCTTTTTGATAAATCTTTTTTTTTTTTTTTTTTTTTTTTTTAAAGATTTATTTATTTATTATGTATACAGAAGAGGGCGCCAGATCTCATTATAGATGGTTGTGAGCCACCATGTGGTTGCTGGGAATTGAACTCAGGACCTCTGGAAGAGCAGTCAGTGCTCTCAACCTCTGAGCCATCTCTCCAGCCCTGATAAATCTTTAAAAATATTTTTTAATTTTTTTTTTTTTCCGAGACAGGGTTTCTCCGTGTAGTTTTGGTGCCTGTCCTGGAACTTACTCTGTAGCCCCGGCTGGCCTCGAACTCACAGAGATCCGCCTGGCTCTTCCTCCTGAGTGCTGGGACTAAACCGCTGCCCAGCTTAATTTTTTAAAGAGACTTTTAAATTTTATGTGTGTGAATGTTTTGTTTCCATGTATGTTTGTGCCTATTGTGTGTATTCATGTCTGGTGGTAAGGCCTGAAGAGGGGGTTAGAGTCCCCGGAACTGGAGTTACAGAAGGTTGTGAACTGCCATATGGGTGCTAGGAAATGAACTCAGGTCCTCTGGAAGAACAATGTGTATTTTCAACTGCTGACCTATCTTTCCAGCCCCTAAAAATAACTTCATTTTTACTTTACTTCAAGTTATTCATATGTACATGTCTGCATGTGTATATGTGCATGTGAGGGCAGGCGCCTGAAGAGGCCCTGGATATCCTAAAGCTGGGGTTATTGGCAGGTGTGAGCCGTACCTATGTGGGAACTGAGAAGCCAACTCTAGGCCTCTGGAAGAACAGCAAATACTTTTAACTGCTGAGTCATCTCTCTAGTCTTGTCAGAGAAAAATCTAAGAGTAAAAATTTTTAAAAAAATTGCAGGAGGAAACGTACCAGCCACAAGCTCTTAGTTGAACTTCATTGCACATAGAAAATGTTTTCAAAAACCTTACGGCTGGAGAGCTTATTCAACAACTAGCAGCACTTGCTGTTCTTCTAGATGGCATGGGTTCAGTTCCCAGCACGTACATCACTGCTCACAGTTGTCCGTTGGTACACACGTGGCGTACATACCCACACGCAGACAAAACCATGTCCGGCAGATCTCTGTCCGTTTGAGGCCAGTCTGGTCTCCATAATGAGTTCCGAAACAGTCAGAGCGATATAGTGAGACCCTATCAAAAACAAAAACAAAACAAACCACTCATACACATAAAATAATCCTTAAAAAAAAATGTTGAACCCCCTAAGCTGGGACGGAGTGTGTAGCTCAGGATTAGGATTCCAGTCAGCCACCATGAGTGCCGGGAATTGAAGCCAGGTCCTCTGGAAGAGAAACCTGTGCTCTTAACTGCTGAGCCATCTCTCCAGGCCCTCTGGTTTTAGTTTTGATACCTCTTTTTCTTGCTCTGTAAATCTGGTCAGTTTACTTCTATATGAAATTAATGTGTTTGCTGAGAACTGTCACCAGGCCCTGAATCCTAGTTCTGTGCTGCCTCTGAGCTGCTGGTAACACCTATAATATCCCTCCACTCCTCGCTACTTCTCATAGCCCTGTCTGCCCTTCAAGGACCAATACCTCTGTGTACTTTTTTCTGATACCTCCAGCCCATGTTGTTCTAACTAGACCCAACACTACTAGCTAGAGATTCTAGATAGTTTTAATCCTAGATTTCATGACTAGAATGTAAATCCTACATAATTTGAGAGGAAGGACTTTTTGGTTTATCTATTCTCCCTTATACTATAGGAATTCAAAACTGCATTGGCAGTTTCTTTAAAAGGGGTCGTGATACATTATGAGAGTTATCAGATTGTGAAGAGCTCGAGTTTTTTGTTTTTCAGCATGAAGACTGTTACCCAACCTGACCATTTCTGCCCCCATACAATATGCCAGTCACTGAAATGGTAGGTTTTGCAAAAGACAGTTTATGAAGTGACCAATCATTCACAAACGTTGAAATCAAGTCTCCCAACGGCCTCACCTAAACTGAGGTTGGGTGGTAGTTACGGTCTGAGGAGTGGGAAAAGGTAACGATTAAAGTCAGCTATAACCATCATGACCCTCTTCCAGGCCATGCTACAGGAAAGCACAGTCAGATGAAGGTACCTAACAGCTAGAAGATTCTAGACTGAACTTTTACTCAAGACTCGAAGACAAGATAGTATTGGATAGGAAACTAACTAAAATTCGTTGCTTGATCCTTAAAGTTGAAGAACACTGACATTTATAGTTACAGGATCCATGAAAACAGATAATGATCATTTCAGATTGAAAGGATGTTGAGTGTTGCATTTGACGAAGTTTGGTAAGAACTGTAATTTGGACATTGCTCCTAAAGTCATAGCGCACCACAGATGTCTTGTTTCCTTCCTGAAAGTTTACTGGAGCAATGGCTGCGTCTCAATTTTAGTTAGCACACTCTGGATGCGGCAGGCAGTGTTTCCTGTCAACTTCTCAGAATCTAGCAGAGATGGAAAGAATAAAACTAGTGTCCAGTCTCAGGGTGTAATTTGTGAGGCTTCGTCAGTTGAAACTCACACTTGGGTAGGAAGAATAACACTTTCACCATAGGATACTTTGGTATTTTGTAACCAACTACAGCTCTCGGCCAGTCTTGCTCTCAACCAGAAAAACATCCCTACCCCCAAGTCCGTGTCACCGTATTCTTCCACCTTGATTTTGCTTTTTTAGAGCTGAAAACAAACCAGAGCCCGAAAGCCTCTGCTTAGCCAGCACCGTCTTTGTGACAGAGGCTGGTGGACTTAGAGCTGGAAGAGGGCCTTTGCCCTTGGGCTCGGTTCAAATGATTATTCTGGCCCCATCACACAAGCCTTGACTCCTCTACCAGCCTAAACGTTAGTGCACCGGGTTGGGTGAGGCAGGACGGAGGGTAGCCCAACCATCTAGCAATCTGCACAGCCATAGGAGCAGACCCGCCGCTCGCAACAGCTGACGGAGCGGCGACTGCGGAGCCCGAAGCGGCGACACACGTCGGACCCGCCATCCCGCCGCCGCGCTGGCTCAGCCGGAGCTGCAGCCAGGAACGAGTCCCACCGCGCAGGACGCCACCCCGCCGACGGCGGGACGGAATCGGACGCCAGCCTCAGCAAGGGGAACCCAGCAGCGTTGACTCGCCCGACCTCGACCTCGCCACGGTCACCCAGCACCGGCTGCCACCCACCGGCTACCGGCGTCTCTCCAGGCCTCCCCCCCCCCCCCCCCGCCTCCGGCCCCGCCCGGCCGCACCCGGGGCTGCGCGGCGTCACAGAGCGCATGCGTGCCGCGGGGGATGCCGGGAGCGCGCAGTGGCGGCAGCGGCAGCGACGGCAGTAACAGCGGCCGCTCGAGCGGGGACAGCAGCGGGGCGGTGACCGTGTGGGAGGTGGTCTCACTCCTGGGGAAATTGCTGGGGACCGTCGCCGCGCTGAAGGTGGTTCTGTACCTGCTCCGGGTGTGCTTCGCGATGGCCTGGAAATCCGGCGGCGCCAGCCACTCGGAGCTAATCCACAACCTCCGCAGTAAGTGCCACCCCCGCCCGGCGTGGGCCACGGAGAAGGGCCAGGCCTGGACGCTGTCCCCCCCCCCGCCCCCCCACACGCCCGCCTGACCGTCCGGAACGTTCGGTCTGCACCCCTGCGCCTGCTGGAGGGCGTCTGTGCGCGGTTGCACCGGGAGTCCCGGGCGGCGTGCGTTTGCGGTGTCCTCCCCCGGGACCCGTCACTCGGCGCCGTGGACGGGAAGGGGAGAGAAGCCTCAAGGGGGCTGCTGGCTGCGGGTGGGACGGGGCCGTCGCCTCTTGGCGGGCATGCGGGGACAGAGGGTGCGGCACAGGTGGCGGGGCTGTTGCTGGAGTCTGCCGTCCAACCGGCGAGGGGCGTGACTTCGGGATGGGGAAGTGCGGGCTTGTATTCCTGGTGACTGGGCTGGCACCGCGGGGACACCACCCTCACAGCCTGCGGGTTCTCTCACTGTCCTCCCCGGTCGATTATTCCCTGCGAGCTTTCTTCTGCCTCCCCCGCCCTCTGTTTTTTCCTTTGGAGGGAGATGCGGCTGTTTGATACCAGCAAGGGGAGGGAGAGGACGTTCTGAGTACTGCCGTTACGGGTGGGTGCTGGGAGCAGTCTCTCAGGCTGCTGTCCAGAGTATAGGCTCTTTGCGGGGGGCCAAGGGATTGATTGTCTGTTAAGGGCATGCTGTTCCTAAGAGACTCTGTTTGGAGCCTTTGGAGGTCCTGAATCCAGCCGACCATTGTGTCTATAAAATGTGCTAACTTTTTTTTTTCCAGGACCGTCCTTTGGCTTTTAAAAGCGTGTATGGAAAGTTTTAAAAAAGAATAGCATTCTCTGTAGTTATTGTATTCCTTCCTTTGATGATAGTTTTAGGATGGAATGAATGCTGTGTCACGTACCTTTTAAAATTGAAATGGAGCATTGTCTGGTTCAGAGACCAAGGCGAACTACAAGTTCATAGTTTCACTCTGGTCAGAATTCACAGTTCCTTCTGCCACCAATTAAAAAAAATAATCATAGTTTTTCAGGTGAAGTTCTTAATTTTCTTGTACTTTTTTTTTTTTTTTAAGAAAAGCTTTTCATGTGTCTTCCTTACCTCTTAACTCTATTCATAATCACCTCAAGGGCAGGAACCATAAAAAAAAAAATTGAATTTTCTCAGAGTCAGTACTTATCTTTTCCCCAGGAATGCCAATTCGGTGTCCGTTATATGCCAAGATCTTTATAGAGAGCAAAAGGGTGAGTGAGAGAAATAAGTAGGACTGTCAGGTACTTAATATATTCACCACTGCACTTTAAAAATAATACTTAAATAAAATAGACACTTAGGTTTTTGTGGTGCTTGAGTTTAAACCTGGGGTTTTAGACACACTGGACAAGTGCCCTCCCATAAGTGTCTTGCCAGCCTCTAAAATTTAGGGCATTTCATTGAGGTCTTAGAAATGTGATCATGCTGATATTGAAGTAAAGGGATCTGCAGATTGGAAGCTGGGGTTACGGTTTTAATTTTTTTTTTTTTTTTTTTTTTTACAAAGATGTGCTCATGGTTTGCTTAGGTTTAATATTGTAATTGATTGAAAGTATTTACTTTTTCTTTTGTATTTGAAGAAAGGAGTTGTTTGATTTCTAGTTGATACATCATTTGTTCTCTTTGAGACTGTAATGATAGATTCCTTGTCATTCATTGGCTTATGTTGTGGTAACTGTTCTTTGGTAAATTTGAACAGTTTCTCCAAAGCTTGAGTATGTCTTCCAGTCCTGGGTCATCTGCAGAGCTGGTTCAACTGCTGGGGCTGGAGACTGTGTAGCTAACAAATTCTTTTTTTTGTTGTTATTTTGTTTTGTTTGAGATAGGGTTTCTCTGTGTAGCCCTGACTGACATGGAACTCTGCAATATAGGCCAGGCTGGTTTGGAGCTCAGAGATCCACCTACCTCTGCCTCTAGAGTGCTGGGATTCAAGGTGATAACAAATTCTTAAGTTGTATGTGTGCAGCTGTAAACCCAGGGACTACATAGAGGCAGAGAACTGAAAATTACAAAGCTAAATTCTGCCACTGTTTTAGCTTTATCAGTTATATATTTTAAAATAAAGTTTTAGAAAAAGTCTATAGTTGAGCTTTTTAGAACTTTCTTCATGGCTGACTCAGTGCTCGGTGGTTGGTGATGGCAAACTTGTTTCTCTTGCAGGCGCTCTTGCCAGGGCAATTTGGGGTCCACCAGAGCCCTAATAAGTTGGGTTGCTGGAAGGTAGTGATCTTTTTGTGACTGGACCCCTTTCAGCAGTGTCTTCTTGGCTTGCAGAGCCTTCCCACCTGCTTTGATTTTATGAGGGACACTTGCTTCTTGCTTGGATTTCAGTGCCCCCCCCCCCCCAGGGTTTCTCTGTGTAACAGCTTTGGCTGTCCTGGATCTCGCTTTGTAGGCCAGGCTGGCCTCGAACTCACAGAGATCCACCTGCCTCTGCCTCCTGAGTGCTGGGATCAAAGGTGTGCGGCTCAGTGTCATCTCTTCACATTTAAAATGCTACACTGGCCACTTAAAACAAGATGAGCAACTCCTTCTCCTCCTCCTCTTCTCAACTTGTTTTTATTTGTAAAAAGAAAAAAAAAACTTCAATGCAATTCCTTAATGTATGGGTTATTTCTAATTTCTACTTATGTTTCCTTTGTATCCTTGACTGTTTCATTTTGCAAATATAATGTTTGTAGGATTACCAATCACCCATTGTATACTTGAATGCTTCAAATACAATGTTTGTAGGATTATCAATCATCAATGAATACTTGAATGCTTCCTCTTTATTGTTATTTGATTATTTTTATTTTATGTGCATTGGTGTTTTTCCTGCGTGTGTGTCTGTGTGAGGATGTTGGAAGCCCTGGAACTGGAGTTACAGTCTTGAGCTGCCAGGGGAGTGTTGGGAATTGAACCTCTAAAAGAGCAGCCATTGCTCTCAACACTGAGCCATTTCTTCAGCCCCATGCTTCCTCTTTGTTCTTTTATTTATAAAGATTTTCAGGACAATGTCTCCAAAGCTAGCCATGAATTTTGGAGTTCAATCATCCTTGTTCAACCTCTTGAGTAACTGGCTTACAGGCACTTGGCGTTGCATGCAGTGGAGTAACTTCTGTGTGCCAATCACTAGGGATAAAGGGAAGAGCAAAACAAATACCCACTCCTTTTTGTAGTTTTCTTCTACAGCAAGCAGCTAAGTAAAGTAAATAGTACCTCACAGGATGACCACTGTCAAAGCCTGGGACAGTGGGTTTGTAGTTGCAGGAGAGAATGCCTCACCAGAATATCCTTTGAGCAAAGGTTTGGTGAAGGGGCAGACCAGCCACGAGGATGGATAGAGCTGAGGTGTGAACAGCTCAGACAGAGGCAGTTGCAAGTGCTAGGTTTGGGTATGAGGTGTGGGAAAAAGACTGGGACAAGTCAAGTATAGGACCCCAGAGTTTAGGCTTGGCAGCTGGGATGGAGTTGGAAACAAGTGAGTGAATGAGTGAGTGAACAGCACATTTTATTTGGGGTTGGCTTTGCAGAGAGAGGAGCAGATCAGGAATTTATTTGGGAGAAAGAACAGATTTGATTCATATTTGAATATATAAGATTACGATAATTTATAGTTGTTGAGTCCTAAAAACATTTACTTTTTGTTGTTGTTGTTTCTGTTAGTTTAGTGTTTTGAAATGGTGGCTTTTGTAGCCTACATTGTCCTCAAACTTGTTGTGTAGTTGAGAATGCCATTGAACTTCTGATCCTCCTGTCTGTACTTCTGAAGTGCCAGCTTTTTCCTCCCTCGTCTGGGGATTGACTCTAGGGCCTCATGCATACTAAGCAAGTGCTGTACCCCTGGGCTGTATCCCTAGCACCCTTTTTTGAGTCAGGTTCTTGTGAACACACTGCAGGCTAGGATGCTCTCAGACTGAAGGTGCTTGCAAATATGCTTCCTGAGGACTGGGTTTACTGCTGTGTACCACCATGCTGGCTCTACCGGGTTTACTTTTGCAAAGAAAATGATTTTCTTTTTCTTTCTTTCTTTCTTTCTTTCTTTCTTTCTTTCTTTCTTTCTTTCTTTCTTTCTTTCTTTCCCTTTCCCCTTCCCCTCCCTCTTCTTCCCCTCCCTCTTCTTCCCCTTCCTCTTCTCCCCCTTCCCCTTGCTTCCTTCTCCCTCCCTCTCTCCCTTTCTTCCTTTCTTTTGGCTTCTCAAGATAGGGTTTCTCTGTGCAACTGCCCTAGCTAGCTGTCCTGGGCTTCAATTTGTAGATCAGGCTGGCCTTGAACTCATAGAGATCCTCCTACCTCTGCCTTCCAAGTGCTGGAATCAAAGATGTGCGACAACACACCCCACTAAAATGGTTCTCTTACCCCACTCACAGCATCTGTGCTTAGTTAGTAGTGTACCTAGTGGAAATGAGCATTTTGTCTTAATAGCCCTTTACTCGTTACATGCACATTAGATAAACATGACCAGCTCATAAGAGCCTAAGAAATTGGATCTCTCTCTCTCTCTCTCTCTCTCTCTCTCTCTCTCTCTCTCTCTGTGTGTGTGTGTGTGTGTGTGTGTGTGTGTGTGTGTGTGTACATGTGGAGGTCAGAGGACAACTTTACAGAGTCAGTTCTCTCCTTCCACTTTACATGGGTTCCAGGCATCAAATTCAGGTCATCAGGCATGTCAGTAAGCACGTTTACCCACTGAGCCATCTCGGGGTAGTTTTACTGACAGATAGTAACTCATGGTGTGTACATAGGACACTATTTCATTTTTATGATTTAAAATTTTGATATTAGGTGACCTGGGGATGTTGCTCAATGGTAGTTCTTATCTGGCATGCATGAGGTCAGGATTTAGTTTCCTGTACCATACCAAGGGGGGAAAAATCAATGTGTATCTACTTACATTTAACTTAAGTAAAAACTACATTGAATTTTCAGTTCTGCCATGCTTCAAGGCCTTGGTAGCTTTATGAAGTTAGTGGCTACCCTGCTGAAAAATACAGTTATACAA